ATATATGTTTATGTACATATTGCGATTGGACGATAAATATACGTATATAAATGTATGTTCATGTCAATAGGTGGGAAAGAAAAAGAGTGATAGTCAATTAAATCAATACAAAAGAATTTTGTTGAGAATGATTAAGTTTTAAATTAAATTTCTATAGATAGCTATGAGCCAATTTTATTTGTTAACTCAATTACATACTGTATCGTGTTGAATCTTGACTTTGGCCAGAAAAATTACAATTTTTGAAATGTAAAACGAAAAACCAATGGTGTATACAATCTATACTCTTTAGTTTATTATATTTGGATTCAATTGAAAATGGCAATATCATCTCGTTGCTTTTATTTTTGAACTATTCTTTTATTTTTTAATATGAATAAAATCTTAATTTAGATATTGCTTCTGAAATTTTGTTCAGTTTGAACTGCCAATGATTTTTTTCTTTTCCGAATACTTGAAAAAGTACTAGAATTTTAAATTTAAATTTTCATCGTGACACCAATAAATCAGAAAAACGACAACATCTTATTGACATTCAACGCGTAGGCAAAAAACTGCTTGAGTGACACCGGAAATGTCTCTCATTTCGTATGCAGTTTGGAAACATCACTCTTCCACCTACGTAGTTATTCTTCTTGGTGAGTATGCTAATTTACATTAGTTTGCTTTTCCTTCGTAGTCCAACACGCATCTACATTAAATCTTCTAGATAGATTTTTTTTCTTCTTCTTCTTCTTCTTCAAACTCTTATATCACCTCATGAATATGTTACCTTTCCAATCGCATTACGACGTATACATTGGATAAAAGAAATACTATTCTTTTGTTGTCATGAAAAAACTCTAATGGGCTGCACAACGTTGGCGTTAGTCAGTGCCGGAAGTCAATTTTCTGTGCGTACCAGGGTGTGCGCATGAGCATAGACTTCGCTAATGTTTCCAAACACATGCACACAGAGAAAGACATGCCAGAGGAGAGAGAGTAACCGAAGAAAAGAAAAAAAATGCAATAGAGAAAAAACGAGTCTGACATGAATAATCTAGAAAAAACCTAGTCATTTAGTCATTATACAGGAAATAAATACTGATGCTTGAACTTTGTTCAGCGAAAAAGAGAGATAGAGACATTGATTGAAGCAATGCATGAAAAAAAATCAAATGAAGAAAACAGAGATAGAGACGCCTGTTTCCGTTGCCGCTCAAAATTAATGAGTAACAGTATTGTCATGCTTTTTATGAAATCCGAATTTCATTTTTTTCATTAATTCATAAAAGTTTTTTGTTTTTGAAAAGAAAATTTTTAATATTTTGATAGAAAAAAAAGGGCAAAAGAATATATTGAGGCTCCGAAAAATAAAAACTTCTATAAAACATTGGTTCGTCATATCAAATAAAGTTACGCCCACCCAATCCTTCTTTTCTTTCTATATTATGTTAGTATTCAACGAGAAAAAGAACGAGCAGACATTCCATCTGCACACAAACGCGTAGATAGGCTCATCTCAATGAAGAACAACTATTATGATTGGTTAAAAAATTTCATTGGACGTGCGGGCATGCAGAAGCATACACATGCATGTCATGATTTTTTTCTCATATAAAAGGGAGAGAGAGAGAGAGAGAGAGAGAGCGACAGAGAGAAAGAGAGACGGAAAGGCCTCAGTTCCTGCTTCCTTCTGTTCCTCATTCGTCATTGCTACTTGTGCATTGTCGTCAACCTACACGAAGAAATATAGCGGCGACGGCAACGGAGATTCAATCTCTCTTAATCGGGCATTGCATTTCCGTAAAAGTTCTTTTCTACGTCGGTCGTCGACACAATTTCAAGGAAGTCCGGGACTTAAAGGCGTCCTCTTTTCTCGTCCGTTCCTCAACCGCATATACACATACCACGTAACAACATCTACACATCATGCTCACTGGTAAGCGACTCTGCTCTGCGTAAGGAAGCCAAGATTTCCGTCTGCCTTCAACTCGGTCTATGCGTTTGTGCTCACGAACAGGAATCGAAGTTTTTCCGTTTTGAAAAAAAAAAGAAGAAGGAAACGACAATGATGGCATTGCCACTACTATTCACTTCGTTCTAGTTATTACAACTAATATCGTTGATAGATATTTTTCGAGCCGCTTTTGAAAAAAAAGAAGGAAACGATGATACAACAAGTTGAGCACATCCGCTTATAGAGAAAAAACGAAAAAGAAAAGAGAAGAAAAAAGCATAGAAAATCCCCTCAAAGAAATGGAGACTATAAAAACGATGTAGAAAATATTTGTGTTCACTTTCATGTTAGTTTCTAAAACATTTTAAATATCATTATATTGTATATGTTATTTAGAACCATCAAAGCATGCATGGATACCTATAGGCATCGGCGGTACAACATCGAATGTTTCCAATAGCAGTAAGTTTTTTCTTTATTGAAAAGCACGATAAAGAAAAGGATAACATTTGAGAAAAGTTTATTTGTCTTAACTATTTAGCTTAGCTCAAGTGTCGATATAAGATTAGGGAGCTCTTGAAAGATTTGCGCAAATAATTAGATAGATAGAAATGAAAACAAAGCAAACTTTCTCTTACTCACATATAAGTGCTTACTGCTACCGAATGTATTTAAGTGAAAAAAAAGTAAGCAAAACAAGCTGTCGATAAAAATAACACATCCTTTTTTTTGTGTTTTTGAGATTATTTTTCAGTCTTATACAATCACACCTCAGTATTTATTGAATTGAAATTCGATGCATTTGAGACAAAGAGAAATTGTCTTGAAAATATTGGAGAAATTTGAAAATTTAAAAATAAAAAATAAAAAAGTCGCACTGCTCATGATTCTTGATAATCAATTATCATCTGTTCATAGATATCTAGCAAAACACTTGTTTTCATTATATTGTAAGTTGACCATTCTCTTCTGCTCATTTCGTTTTATTTTTGTGTATGATTAAAATGAAGCAGCGGGTGGCAGAAGAAAGAGTAAAATGCCGCTCTTTTTTTGGTTCTTAATTATGAATCGTTTGTTTCCCCGACTAACTTTATTGTGGAAAGTCAACAATAATCAAATAAAATGATTTCTTTTTCTTTCTCTTTTCTTAAATCAAATCGATGGACAATCAGAAACTTGATTGTTAGAGTACTAGTACATCATGTTCATATAATTGTCCTTTTTTTCTTAGTTGGCTATCATACAACAACGACTCCCTCATCTACATCATCGTCCAATTCATCTAACAACGCTGGGACTGACTCAAGAATAAAAAATGATTATGATAATGGATCAGGCCGTGGCAATGGAGGAAACGATTGCAATTCAAATAATGGTCATCAACATCAGCAATCGTCTTCTTGGCCTTCGTTAGTTAAATCTGAATCATCACAAGGATTAAGAGGTAACATTTGAAATTATTTACCAAGAACAAAACAAAAAATAAAATCTTGATTATTTTTCAGATCCTTATTCTACTTTTACAAGTCAATCATTTTTTCCTCACAATGCCCATAGATTTGGCGGGGGAGCTTCTGGTAAATAATTCTCATAAATAATATTTAAATATAGTTTCTATTGTTTTAGGCACAGGCCAGATACAATTGTGGCAATTTTTACTTGAGCTTTTAGCTGATGCTAGTGCAAATGCAAATATTATTGCTTGGGAAGGTTCCAATGGCGAATTTAAATTAATTGATCCTGATGAAGTTGCACGCCGTTGGGGTGAACGAAAATCTAAACCGAATATGAACTATGACAAATTATCACGTGCCTTGCGCTATTATTATGATAAAAATATTATGACAAAAGTTCACGGTAAACGGTATGCATATAAATTTGATTTCAATGGTTTACATCAATTAAATCAACCACAATTACCAGAATCACCTTATGCAAAATATCAACAAGAAATGATGCGTTCATCACATGCTCATGCAGCATATTTTAAATGGAGTGCATTAAGTTCAGCCGCAGCAACATCCTCCGCTGTTCACATGCCACATCACCATCATCATCATCATCCAGGAGCAGCCGTAGCTTCAACAGCTTACACAAACTATTGGAATCATCCAAGTACATATGATTATACAGCTAATTTTGCTACACCTAATCCATATTTATCATCGTCTTATTGGGTTAGTCCAGCAACAAGTACAACATCATCAACACTTACATCAACTGGGACAGGAGGACTATCATCAATGCACACAGCATCTTCTGCCATTTCCCCATCATTACCCTATTGAAACTAAAGAAAAAAACAATTCTATTGTTCTGTTGTATACAATTTCTTTCTTTTTTTTTGAGTGAATTAAAAAATCACACACCATTATCAGCACGATGTCTTAATGTTGTAGTAGCATGAGGCACCTGGAAAAAAACATCTGCATGTAAATGTGACAATGAATGTCTATCTAGTAAAATTCACTTAGCATGAATAATGATCTATCGCATGTATAATGCTATCATTGTTGTTATTCTTTCGATCAACTTATTATAACTTTTTATTACTATTTTGCCTTCTGCTGCTTTGTGTTTTTCTAATTGAATATGAGAAGTGTCGTTCGTTTCCTTCTCTTGTTCTGTCTATTCATTCACACCTTACATAATGTTCACATTATTCAAAGATCAAAATTCAGTTTTAAGTCAAGTGCATCTTTTATATGATCGCTTGTTCGGTTTTTAACGGTGTAAACGACACGAACAAACAATGCGGTACGATTGAAGAAAAAATACAAAAGAAAAGGATATGTTTCATACTCGAAACGAATGTATTTTTCTTGATGAGAGAAGCGTGTAGAAAATGTTTCATGGCAAACTTGAATCATCAAACGATTAAAGACAGAAAAACGAACAAGAAATGATGATTGCTGGAATCAAACTCGTTTGTCTTTTGTGTATTAAAACAGCTGGTGCAATATATTGCACATAAAAAACAAACAATAGTTAATAGAGCATCTTCAATGTCATATTTCTTTTCATTTACATCTATTCTTAAAGACGTACTGCTGTAAAAATCATGATTGTAAAAAAATATTTTTCGACTAGAATTCTGGTATCATTCGTCGTAGTGTTCACTTTGGTAGTTTGTGCTCAGACACAATCTCTTGATGAATATGCCGGTACGTAATCAATACTATAATGATTGATTTAATAAAGATCGGAAGAACATACTGATAAATGAAGTATGAAGCAATTCTAACATAGATCATATAGAAATAAACTATTTGACAATACATAGTTTCAAAAAAAAAAGAGAAACATAAACATCGATTTCATGCAAGTTTCATTTATTATATTCAGACAATTAACTAGAACAATTTTTTAGACACATGATCTCGAAAGAATTGTATATATGACCTTTCCAAATTCAAAAAGAAAGGATTTCTCTTTTGTTTTTTATTTTCAATTTTTATTTGTTTAGAAGATTACATCGATGACGTTACTTCTACTATAAATACAACATTACCAAGCAATTTATCAACAAAAATGTTGAATTCATCTAATAGACTTACATCTCTGTCATCTATACTATCAGCTTTATCGGCTAGATACAACACATCATTGACTAAGATAAAAAATAATACCAATAAAGTTCCTTCTGGAAATCGATCCATTTCATTATCATTCTCATCAAAATCTACAAAGAGTGAAAATCTATCGGTGAATATATCATCTTATGTATTGGTTCATGATCTTGTTGACCAATTCAATCGTTATCGTAATATTGATATTCTTTCTCGAATAAAACAATGCAATTCAAATATGAAACTTAGTTATATGTGTGAAACATATTCATTTGATAATCATACCCATTCATTAGTACGTGAATCAAATATTAGATTTCAATCGTTACAACATATTTATGATTCTCTTATTGATCGAATAATTGTACAAAAATTAAATGCATTTTGTTCAAAATCTCAATGGTGTTTGGGAAATTTAACAAAATATAATATTCGTTTTACTGTCGATGTTTTTCGACAGCTAGGGTATTCCTTCTGTGCACTAGAGATGTGTCATCATCGACTTCATGTACATGTAACGACATGTCCATCAATTACACCTGCGGTATGTATATAATAATAATAATAATAATCAAAGAGATTTTAGAATCATTTTTTATACTTTCAACATAGAATATAAGCCGACCGACAATAGCATTATTGCCAATGCTATGTACACTTTATAAGGAACAACAAGTTTGGAGTTCAGCCGAATGTACTGATCGGCTTGTGTATCTTCTTCATATTCTTTATGCATTCTGGTCACAAATTGAGGTACTAATGATTCATTAATTACATCAAGATTTTTCATTTGCATATTTATAGACATGTTATCACATAATTTCTAGTCGTTCTGGAGGTTGTACATACGAATGTCTAGTATTCGACAGTACTTTACGTGAATTTGACAATAAATGTGGTGGAAACGCTTCGTTTTTAACAAGGTAATAAAAATAACAAATTGTATTCCAAAATGAATTTGACTTTTGAAAATTTGAAAATAAAATCAAGAGTTCCTGAACTGGCTTGGTATCATTTAATTAATTTACAAACAAAATGTCGTGATAAAACAATTGTAACCAAAGCTCCACTGATGTCGTCGGTAATTTCTCTGAATGTGACTATCTTTTGTTAATTTGAATATTTCAGGCTACGAATTTTATTTCATCAGATGCATTCTCACATCGATTTAATCAACAACCTGCATATGCAGCTTTATTTCTTGTTGTGATCATTTTCATTGTAATTAGTTTTTCTCTATGTTTGTATTTTATGTCAAACAATAAATATGATTCAAATACTCGAAATAGCGATGATGGTTATGAGTATACAAGATTACATAATTCAACATTTGAACTTGATACAAATACTGAAAGTACATTTTGTTTATGTATTTTAAATAATACTTCTTCTATTGGTTTATTTTTAGCTATAGATATGAATTCTACGTTGCATAGAACAATTGATCAATCGCAATTTGATCTCGACGGTAACGGTCGTTCACTAGAAAATCACCGATTATTATAGATGGAACCTAAGAAAAACAAGACGATTCATTTTTATTTTTTATTTTATGTCTTTTAATCATAAATAATAGTGCTCTCTCTCTCTCTCTCTCTCTCTCTCTCTCGTTCTCTCTGATTATCTTAATTTTGCATTGAATAAGATAAATCATAATGCTAATGATAAAAATAAAACTATATTATTCGAGTAGAAAATATCTTGAAAAAATTGGTCATTTATATGATGATAAAATAGTATGCTGAAACAAGGTAATGGTACACAGAAGATAAAAATTAATCGATTTCAATTCTATGGATTCATTGAACAAGGTTATTCTTTTTCAGTAAAAGAATGAAGAATTTTATGTGATATATTTGTTTTATATTCAAACTAAATTTGCATGCTGAAAATAAAAATGAAAAAAAAAAAACTTTCACCAAAGGAAAGTCGACTTTGTCTAGTGACAACGTTTATATTTCTAGAGGCTAGCATGTGATATACACTAGGCAATTTATATTTTCTCTTCGTTGTATTTTACCATTGAAAGGCTTCCAAATTCGTTTTCTTTTTCATCCCATTCTTCTGCAAATAATCAAACAGCCAAGAAAGGAAGAACAAGAAGAAAAGGCAACAGTTTCTTAGTTACGTTTGTATTTTGTTACAGAGTTTTTTTCAACATCACAATCAGACGATTGTTTCTAACGATGAGATAACCATCGATTTTCATTTATACATATTTCTTTTTCTAGATTACGATGACACATACAAATGATATTAATTCATTATTATCCCAATTAGAAGAACTTGACAGATCAAAAGATTATTTAACTATTGGTAATAAATTAGATAGTTTTGATTCAAAAATTACTGATATTATTAAAAAATGGATATCAAATAGTAGATTATCGAATGAAGAAATCAATGTTATTAATTTATATTCAAAACTTCAATTAAATTTTGTTGAATATTATTTTTTCGAGTCACAATCGACAGTAGATAATGAAACTATCATAGAATTATTTCGTAAATGTTTATTTCGAGCGAAACAAATTAATGATTTAAAACAAGCTGTCATATTTATTCGTGATAAACAACCATCAAATGATAATAAAACTGAACAAGATGAAATGCTAATTTATCTTATACGTATGCTTGATGCGCGTTCACTTGCTTATCGATTATGTTTTAAAGATCTTAACCCACCTCCACGAGACCTTAATAATGAACTTAATTTATGTCTTACTCATGATTGTGCCAAAAACTATTTTTATGATATGAAATCAAATAATGATGCAGGTAAAAATTTTAATATTAGTTACCGTCATCAATTTTTCGTTGGTTGTTGTACATTTGCTATTGCATTATTTGAAGAAAATAAAAGAATTTTTCAAAATGATGATAAAACAAAGTATATATGCTTACTCGCAAAATATGTTCGAATTGTGTTAAGTACAAGAAAATTCGAAGAAAATAAATCATTTGTTTATTGTCTTCGTGGTATTCTTGCTTTACTTACGAACTGTGTTCCAACTAATAAATGGACTCCAATTATTAATAGAGCACTGGCGAATCCCAATGATGAAGATGCACAAGAAGCAAATCCATTCAATCTCGAACTATTTTCTTTCATAGTTATTAGATTATTAGGATCAGAGACTCTTCGAAATAAAGTGATACAATCTGATTCGAATGATATTACTTCATTAATTGATGTCGCGCTTATATTTCTTAATAAATGGTGCGATACAACAGAAGATCTGACTGATGATAGTGACTATACAATTAGTAATGATTCATCGTCTTCCGATGAAAAAAATCAAGTTCTTCGTTTATTACGTTCTAATGAACTTTTAAGTCACGATTTACACGCGTCACAAATCATGGTTCCTTATATTGATGCAAAATATGATCGTGTTCGTTTAATGGCTGTGTCAACATTATCAAGAATTATGAATTTTAAAGATTTTCAAAATTTACAACAGAAAAAGCCTAATATGGCTCAAGATATAGTAAAATTAATATTTTATTTTATCGATCGAGCAGTCATTTCACAAAATTATCAATATAAAGGAATATCATTCGAATTGCTTCTTCGTTATTTACTTCGATTTCTTGTTCAAGATGTTATTAAAGAGGAAACAATTCCATACATATCGAATCTTGTTATTTTTGCAGAACAGCGTCATTTAAATGCACTTAAAATTCTTCGTAGAATTTCTTCATCAACAAAACTGACACAAAAACTAATTGAAAATCTTAAATTCGATAGATTTTTAAAAACTACAGCTGATGCTTTATTTGATAATGATCCAACAATGAAACGAATTACCGAAGAAATTCGTCGAAATCTTGCACCAGAACGATCAAAAGAGTTACCAAGTAAAAAAAAGTTATATTAAAAAAAAACAACAATAATGTCTTTTTTTTCTTTTTTAAGTATCCAGTGATGCTGGTAGTCGACAAGCATTCATTTCATATTCTCATCGTGATAAAAGTCAACGGATTGCATTTGCCAAAGATTTAGACAGAGCTGGAATTTTTACAAATATTTGGGTTGATGAAAACGACATGAGAGATAATATAGTTGACACAATAACCACTGCTATTCGTCAGTCAAAAGCTGTTTTTGTTCTTCTTAGCGAAGGATATTGTTCATCAGATATTTGTCGACGTGAATGGGAATTTGCTCTGAAAAAAAACATTAAAGTTTATCCTATTATAGTTCAAGAAGGCTTTAAAATAGACACGTATGATTGGGTTGCATTCAACATTGCTCAAACTCTTTATTATAAAATTCATAGACAAGACGAATTAAAACTGTTGGTGGAAAATCTAAAAAAAGATTTTCATGAACAAAAAAACTCACCAAAGATACGAACAGAACCCCCACTGGAAGCAACAGCAAATAATCAATCAGACACTCGCGAACAATTTAAGGATAAACCAGTAGCTAAATGGACACCCAGCGATATTCACAATTGGTGTGAGAAAAATAATCTTGGAAAATGGTGTGAACCATTAGCTGAATATCATGGGGAAGCTCTACTTGAACTAAATAGACTTCTAGAGACGGATGCAAATCTGCCACATATTGCTCATGGACAAGACATAACTTTAATCGATGTAGTTCTGTTCAAATGTGAATTACAGAAATTATTATCGAACAGAAAAGCAAGAGTAAAAACAGCTAAGAAAAAAGACACAGTCAAACATCGAACCACGAACATGTTAACTAAATAAAAATGTAATGAATCTTTTGACGTATTTATTTTACTTTTTTCTTAAAGAACATACTACAAAATAAGACATAATGTTGTAAAATATAGTTAGAGGATTGATTCAATTGCTTTTGTAATTTCTTCATCTAATGGTTTCACTCGACTATTCCAAGCAGCTACGAGATGACCTTCTCGATCGATAAGATATTTATGAAAATTCCACTGAGGTAATACATCTTTTCCACCAGCATCAATAATCCATTGAAATACTTCACTTGGCTTATCTTTATCTTGTTTTGTTGTTAGAGGAAATGTTGTTTTGAATTTACTTGCATACAATGAGCATACTTGTGGTTCATCACCTGGCTCTTGTTTACCAAAATTATTACAAGGTACACCCTAGTAAAAACATAACAAAAATTTTTAGACTGTCTTTCATACTCTTTAAATCAATTGAGAAGAAAACTAAGTACAAAATAAATTTAACAAGAAAAAAGTAATCTTACCAATACAGTAAAACCTTTATCTTTATATTTATCATGTAGTTCTTGTAATGTATACAATTGTGGCGTATATCCACATTCGCTAGCTGTATTAACAAGTAAAGCAACTTTTCCACGTAATTGATTCATATCTACTGGTTGACCTTGAATATCAGTAAATTGACGATCATAAAATGAAGGTTGATTCGTTGGATCATTGATGTTTGTTTGACGAGCAGAAAATAGTGATTTACCAAATTGAAGTAAACTAGCCATATGTTGTCGTCCGTTTGAATTTAATAGAATTGCAGCAGCTAAAACGAAAATGGAGAAGACAACAATTTTGCATGTCTTGAAAGACATTATCTTTATTGATTAGAAGCAGAAACACAACGAAGAGCAAGAAGCAACAATTTAGATATAATTATATAAGATCGCCCTACAAAATGACGATGCAAAAATTTATCTTGTGTCATTCAATTCGAAGTAGATGATAAACAGAAAAGCGATAGAGAAGAGAAGCAGAAACAAAGGTTGACAACAACTTCTACACTGATTGGTTGTTTCTAAGAAACATTCAGATGGCGTAAGCTAACCATTAAAGAGTTTTTCTAATGATATATTACAACAATAAAAAACATGATTTGAAACAATTATAATATGTAAATTAACATATACTCTAGTAGCGGTAGGCTAGACGCTGTCGTACAACTAAAATTGCTTGTTTTGTCAATCATTGTTGAGTTCAAAACTGAAATTTTATTCTACATCGATGACAGAGAAATGATTGTACAACAAAATCGCTTTTGCATTCATCAGTTCCTCCATCCTATTGAATAAATCAGATATTAGGATTTAGTCATTGGTTTCATAAGATGAACAATTATTACTAAATATATGCGAACAAATTAGTTTATCATTTGGATAACGAGGAACTCTCATTAGAGCAAAATATGAAACGAAAACTTCTTGCGACTGAACAAGATAGATTTGAATTATTTTAGAATTTTCAATTTACCTATTTTTTGCATAAGGTTATCGAAGCTATAGGATAATATATGTACGTAAGTTCCATATTTTAGATAGAAAGTAGCTAAGCTAACAAGGTTTTTCATTTGACGAATCAGTTTGAAAGATAATGATGTGTCTTCTTTCTTCTATCATTAATAACTAAAAGAAAAAAAACATTCTTTTTTTCTTACAAATACGAAAAGGATAAACTTGAAATCGCAATGCTGATTTACTTGAAGCAATAGAATTTTCTGTTTTCAGAACATTCTTATCAAAGAGCACGTTTATTCTATTTTAAAATCTTTATGGTCAAGAAAAAAAGAGCCCATAGTTAGAGATCTCAGTAGTATTCAAATATTTGATATTGTTGGTTCCATTGATAGAAGCATTCGACAGCACCATATCTATTTTAATATTCTATTTTGTAGCTAATTTTGATTGATTCAAACGAATATTTTCACTCAGTATCAGAAACCTCTTGAAAAAAATCATTTACAAAAGAAAAATTTCTTATATTCCTGTTTCGATACAAAACTTTCTTTAATTCATAGTTGAAATCATATACAGATTTAGAAAATACAGCAGTTTTTTTTCTTCATTCCGTGGTCTATCAACAACGACTCAAACTGTATGAGACTCACAATCCAATGACATATAATGTCATGCAGCATAGATATTTATTTTATTTCTTATTTCTCACCTATTTCAATCTTCTTTTCCAAAATAAGTATTGTTTTTTTTTTTACAATTATTGTGTAGTCTATTGATTTTTAGCATGAAAATTGTTGGTGAAAAATTTGAAGGCACGTCTTAAACAATTTCAGTTATAACCTAATGAAATAAAAATCAGTTAAATACAACTATTATTGACAATATTTTATGATCTTGTCAGTTCGATTTGTTTCCAATAGTATTCTTAATCTTATTTACATTATTACCTTTGATCTGAAAAATAAACATCTTATCAGTTTCATTAACTGAATTTTTTATCTATTCTTGCTTCATGAGCTTGTTTTAATGATCGATTATTCCTATCAAGTTTTGATTCAGTGTTAGTTGCAATTACTTGCGAAATATCTTCTTGGAATAATTATTAAAACTATGTTTACTCATGTCTGCATAGAAGAGTAAAATACTGGTAAGACGAGTATGGCTTTTGATAAATGATAGTTTTAATCCGTGACAGTGCTATTTAGCATTCGAATAGTAGTCCGTTTGACTTCTCTTGTGATAAAGATCAAAATGGCGAATGATTAATTATGCATTAGATAATCAGAAAGAATGGTATCAGGTCTGTTTCATGGTTAAAAGTTCTATATTTGATAAGACATCCTATGAAATGCACATAATCTTATGCTGTAATCCATATGAAGTAAAGACATTTTTGTCAAATGATAAAATAAAACTTGTGACATTTATGATTTGATATTGCACATTAGAACTTAAGTTTTTGTGAAAAATCTGATATTTAATATGGCGTAAAATAGGTAGAAAGACCCTCTGACCTATTATTAGTGTTTTGTTAGACAAAGAAAAAAAAACAAGAGATTGCACAATAAGTAAAGATTTCATTTAACTATGTTTAAATAATAATTAAATATGAAAGAGAAGACATAATACTAGATATAGACTTTCTCAATACTAGTTATATAAATAATCTTATCTTTTGTTTTAATCTTCCATACAAGATTAATCTTGCATTTCATATATATTCTAGGTCGATTTGATTCATAAAGTTAAACGTTCGTTAGTACATACGCTCATGCATTACGAGCACTTTTGACTTGTTTATCAGTTCTCAATGATGAAAGAGAGAAAAATTCTACAACATTTACGTGTCTGTCCGTATCCACTAGCAATATATGTACAATATAAAACTATGTATAGAAAGAGCAATAGAAGGAGAGAAAAAAGAAAACGTTTATCGTTCACTATAGTTCATCGACTTTTGGTAACATTTTCTCTCCTATATCTTTGAAGCAAGATAACTAGCAAATACAGTTTGTTTTATTGACAATCAAGTGAAGAAAAAGACAATTTAAAGATCGATTTATCTAACTCACATGAGAATGTTGAACTTTTGATTATAACAAAAAATGTGTTCGGTAAAAAATCTTGCAATTCTTTCGTTATTCGATTAACTGTGTTCTTTCTCTTCTATCATTTATCTGGTTTCTTCTCCTTCAAAATGAATTGTATAGCTAGCTATAGACTTGTGCGCCTCCGTCGTAGATTAGACTACATTGCATGAATTGTGACTTATGTTTGTTAGATCGAATGAACTAGGGCACATCTAATTAATATCAAAAGTAGCTACCATTTATCTAGCTTATATTTATATTGATTTGAATTGAAAAGAGAAGGTGGGTGAATTTATTTATTTTCTTTGCTCTATCCTTCTCGTGATACACCAAAAACGTTCAACGAGTCGATAATATGTAATTTGACCGAAATTCTCTTATAATGCTTCGTTTTTTTTAATATTTAGATGCATTAGTGAGAAAGAGAACGATGAACAGTTGAGAGGATGGCAAACATTTATTGAATTTGTTCATCTTGAACTTCTCGAAAGTACGAAAGTATAGTCAATATTCTTCTCACAGGTGCTACGTATTTATCAGTATAACTGATCATCACCTAAAGCTAAACAAGGCGCCTTCAGGAATGTATGAATGTATTCATTTGATCGAGTTTCTTTTATATTACATAATCATTCGTACACTGGTATCGATATAAGTCATTCATCATCGCAGAAAATGTTGGTGTTAGGAATCTAATCTAGTTGTTGGCATCACTAGCATTCATTGTGTTCTTTCGCGATTGAACGAGCACATTCACACGTACACATACATTTTGATGTATATAAATATATATATATAAAAACAAATGTCTTAATAGAAACAAGAAAGAGCGATTCCATCTGGTAGTGTTCAAAGAAATAGTGTTGAAAGAAGTGAGTTCAACAATGTCTTCTCTTTTTGTTTTGTTTTGTTTTGTATTCACGATTACAATACTAATATTTTACGTGTGGTGTTGGTCCATAATTGCACTTTGTGTGTTCTCTATTGATTCTTTCGTTTGTATACGTTCGATGATTATAGCTTATGACGAAAATCGTCCGCAATATATTTACAGTTTCTATTATATTCTTAAAGTTCCTTTCTCTCGCTCGCTTTTTCTTCTCCTTTTCTTTCTCAATAATATTCTCACAATCACTTACAACTAGTAGCTATATATTCAATCATAGCTACTAAAATACAAATATCGTGAATAATTGTGAAGTTTTATTTTTTATATCTTAAATCGCGTATTCAGCATTTGTAAAAAAATTAAAAAAACTGAAAATAATGAAAAGTTTGATCGCTCTAAATCAATATCAGAAGCAATCATGTGATTCTCCTCGATCGGTATTTTTCTTATTGAATATCAAGTAATATTTTATTTCTTCTTTTTAGCTAATGTCAGACGTCATCGATAATAGTTCGAGCTCAAGTACAATTGAGTCAAGTCGTAGTTCAAAATCAATTATTCAATTAATTACATGGTAAATAAGATAAATAGTATCAAGCTATTTGAATTGATTTTATTTTAGTCCAATATGTCTTGAAATATTTCATGAGCCACTACAATTACCTTGTCAGCATACTTTTTGTAAATTATGCCTAGAACGAATAACAGAAGATCGTTGGGGTCGATGTAAATTATATATTATAAGAATTTGATTTATTTTTATTCTTTGATACATAACTATTTAGGTCCTGTATGTCGTGGATGTTATAGAGTACCATTTGCCGGCGTAGGTTCATTTGAAGTAAATCGAACAATTGTAAATTTACTTGAAAGTTTGTCACATAATGAGCCAAAACCTATGCTTAAAGCAAAGTGTGCTCTTTGTAAATTAGATGATACAATTACCGTAACTAGTTTACTGATTTTATTGAAATCAAAATAGATGCCATATCCTTTTATTCAGGTATGTGAACATTGTCGAGAAGCCATATGTTGCACATGTCGTCGACAACATTATGAAGAATTTTCAAGATATATAAATTTAAAATTAAATGAAACTCAACAAGAAACAGAAAAATTAATTGCTAAAGAAGGTAAAATAAAAGTTAACTTTCTCTTGATAATAATAAATATGTTTTTATTTTAAATCAAAGTTGAAAATATAAAAAATCATGAGGAAAACGTGTGCTACTCAAATGATATTGCTAATGTAATTCGAAATAAAGTAGCTGATCTTATTGAAAAAATTAAACAAGAAGAAACAAAATTACTACATAATGTAGAAGAATTTAGTAGTGCTGAACAGAGGTAAGTATTATTACGTCTGTATAGTTGTTATTTGACCATTAATATTTTAGATTAGTTACTGAAAAAAAAGCGTGCCTTGAAGATCTCTCATTGATCAATGAATTCTGTTTACAATCTCAAGGAAAATTACGCAGGTATATATCAAAACTATAATTTGCTATTGACTAGTTTCAATTCCAAACAGTCTAATTAAAAAATATTTATATTAAAAATATGAAAAAAAAATCAAAATCTTGTATTTTTCTATTCTAGTAAAGAAGAAACAGATCAAGAAGCAATTGAAATTCGTCAAAGATGTGAAGAATATGTACTTAGTGTCAATGATCTTCAAAATCGAATACTGATTGTTAAAACACCTATTCGTCGCGTAAGCCACAGTGTATGCTTAAATTAGTGATTATTTGTAGTTTGTTTTTATTATAGATCTCATTTTTTAATCGAGATATATCATCAGATGCTATTTCATTGGGTTTTGTTGAAATTGGAATGGTGCTTGAACCAATTGAAAGCGCTGTTCAACTTTCATCAATATTTCAATCATCATTAAAAACTGATTCACCATTAACAACATCATCAACTAATATGGACTTGCAACATTGTTCGAAACAATTAATTCGTTGTTTAAGTGCTACATTACAACAACAAAGTGATTATCCAAATAGTTCATCGCCATCTTTTCGTTCCAACGCATCAGCATCTGATAATAATGGACATTGTCGTCAACCACTACAATCACAAAATCATAAACGTACACCACGTATTATTGGTAAACGAGGAACACGTGATACTGAATTTATGCATCCGTCATCGTTAGCCTATTCAAAAAGAGATCAACTCATTTGTAAATAAAAGTCAATCATTTTTACATTACTCTTTTACGAATTTTATTTTTATCATAGATGTATGTGATACTTATAATAATCGCTTGGTAACATACAGTATTGATGGTATCTTTCAACAAGTTCATAAAGCTGTAAGTGAAACGAGTGAAACACGTTTTTATCATCCATATGCTGTTCATATTGATTGCAATAATCGACTTTATTTAATTGATCAATCTGAACGTCGAATAAAAGTATTTAATCGAGATTTTAAATTAATCCGAGTTATCGGTCAATATGGCCGAGATATAGGTCAATATTCAGCACCATGTGATTTATGTACAAATGAAGACAATTACATATTTGTATGTGATGCTGGTGGTCATCGAATATTGAAATATAGTGAACAAGGACAATTTATTCTTGCCTGGGGTGGTCTTGGCACTGATAATGGACAATTTAAATGTCCAGCTTGTGTATGTGTACTTAGTGGTAACCGTTTAGCAGTATCAGATTGGGGTAATGATCGAGTACAAATATTTAATTGTGATGGCGATCATTTATTATCGATCGGTCAACGTGGCAAACTTTTATCAGAATTTTTTCGCCCATTAGGTCTCGCTTTTGATGAAATATCCGAAAGACTATTTGTTTGTGACGAAGGAAATAATCGTGTAACAATATTCAATAATGATTTCACTACAACAGAACTTGTACATTCAAAAATCGGTTTTCATGGGCCCTATGATATATTATTACTTAAAGATGGTCATATTTTGATTTCTGAACATCGAGCACATCGTTTACAAATTATTTAAGTTAATAATTTCTTGTCGTTTTCCTTTGTTTTTCTAAATAACTACTTTTACCTAGGTCAGATGTGCACTCGAATGTATACGAATGTTTGTAAAGTTCTTTTTTTTTCAAAATATTGATGAAAAACGATTACAAAACATCGTTGAAATTATCAGATAAATAAGGACACTCAAAGTAAACCTATTTCATTATATACGTATATTATCATTGAGTTGATTGATGAATTTTAAATTTCACATGATTTAAATGGAGTATAGAATTCATTGAAGCCACAATTTTATTTGAACGATAGATAATCGATTTATATTGAAACGATATTTAAAGATAATAAGTAAGCAAAAGTCTGATATATTGATTGTGATTGATCGTCTAATTTTTATAATGCCCATTTCGATAATGGATAGGAAAGAAAAATGATGCACTGCTAATTATTAGATTTGCAGAAGAATTGCATACAGACGTTATTGTCAAAACAAATTATTCTATAGCTACATATTCATTACAATCAATACATGCACTTATCCAACTGTATATTGTATTTATAGTTAAGAATAACAAAAACATAACGCAAAACCCAAATGATATACGTAGTTCGCCAATGGCCATGCTTCATTTAATTAGTCTATAGATTCATATAAAAATAACTGAAAGAATTAAAACTATATAGGAAAACCAATCTGATTAAATCGAGGAATTTTTATAACTAGATAACAATTGATGAATATATCATAATTAATTGAGTATTAAAATTAACGTTTCACCGTTTAGTATAGTTAAAAAAAGAAGTATCGTTGTCTATTAATGTCATGACAACTTTCAAATATATATATAATTCTCGCTCTTTTAACTTAAATTGGTACAGTTACGATACGACCTGCATGCATACATGTATATATATATATCAATGGAGTTATTTCTTCAAACAGGTTTCTCATGAGTTTTTGTAATAGAATAAATACCTAAAATATTCCTCATTATGGTATTATTGAACGAGATTTTTTTCATTATATATATATATCATACATTTTTTTAATAGTTAAAATGAATACAATATATATATATATATATATTTATGTATTTCAATGAAGTTATCAAATATTCTATCCAACCGTATGAAAAAAAATAGAAAATACCTGTGGTTCTATAAAAATGTAGCAAGCAGAGTTGAAAGAAAAATAAATATAATGTCATCCATCTGCGTATCATTAATAACATTAAGAAAATTTCAATATTCATCATTTACTTAAAAAGAAATCATCTATAGTTTATGATAATAAATAAGTTCGCCTGCTTCGCCTGGGGCTGATTGTTCACTGGGTACGAAAAGAGTGACAATTAAAATATTTTGATCCTTCCAACTACTGAGTGTCATAGTTGGATTAGCAAATGCTTGACTTCCACCATGTGTAACAACGGGTACTTGATCGGCATTACCTGTCTGTGGATCAAATATAAAGGTACGCCAAGTACCAAAATCTTGTGGTTTATATTGTCCTTCGATAATCGTAAAGGCAAAACTATTAAAACTCGAAAGTGCATCTCGATCACCAATGTTACCTTGTACACCATAATGAAGTATTGCATTATCAACGTTTGGTTGTTTTCGGATTTGTGTCCATAGATTGAAATTTTTCAATGTAGCACGAGCTTGCCGATCAACAACGCAGTTGTCATAAAAGTGAAAGCCAACATCAATATTATTTAGTGTTGGTTGACCATATATATTAGGAGTTCCTTCGGCACATCGAGATAATGCACGCGGAACAGAATAATTTCTTTGAGATCTGCCAGCTTGTAAATCAGACCATGTTGGATAAAAAGAAAATTGTAAATGATTATTAGGTTCTTGTTCCCATGCGACTATATAACCTTGAGGGTGATCACTAGGCACAGCAATTGTTGGTTGAGAACCAAAATAAGCTAATTCCTGAAGCCAATTCCAATTCAGAAGATCATTTGATATAGCTAAATTAACTCGTGGCACATTATTTATGTAGGTATGATAAACACCAATAAATTCTTCACTATCAGTTCGTTTAATAATTTTAACACAGTCCATTGTATTTCCAAGATGATCACGTGAACTATATCGATATCCATCAGCTTGACGAACGTTTCCAATGAGTGCTACAAGTTTATGTCGTGCATCATCCGAAGGAGATTGTCCTTGAGTAAGACTTGAAATACATCCTATTAGTATAAAGAATATTATCCGCATTTCGATCACTCTTGTTTTAAAAATGACGTAGTACTAAAAGTATATATATATATGACAGCTGTGATTGTGTCTCACCAAGCATTCGATGCATAGAAAATAGTAAATCAATACCAACCGAAAAAAGTGTCTTTTGTCGGCTGATGAGGAACAAAGCATACTGAATAGGAACCAGGTCGGATTGGATTTATTTGAGATTTTGTATTCTATAGAAAGATGCTAGAAATTTTAATTCTCACGAATTGTACGAACACAGAAGTTTTTTGAATTTTCTTTTGATATTCAAACTCGAATTCAGTATCGACGTAATTTTCTTGCAAGACATGAATATTGTTTCATCTGCTTCAACAGTGCTCAGACTTACAAAATACACACTCAAAGAAATTTTCATTCTACTGGAACCATAATCAGAATCAAGTTAATTAATTGTATTTGGATTGGAACTGAAACTAAAAAGGGTTGATCTCGCAGTTCCTTGCATCCAACTCAAAATTAAACGAACTCAATCTTTTACACATATAATTAGTAAATCAACAAGAGAAAAAAGAAAATTTTCATCATGCTAACTGCCGAAGCAATTGTCTTTTAATTATCACTGAGATAGAAATAATCTCTTCTGACACTTTGTATGATTACTATCTACTTACCATTATGAAAACATGTAAATAACGTTACTAAAATTTATTTAAATGAATAAACTAAGTAGTTTGTCAAAAGAAGTAACTAGAATCTATTCAAGAGTTAAGCTTAGTGATTGTATTGAAGTATCTCGATGATTAAAAAATTCATAGTTTTATAAATTCATAATATTATATTAGAGTTTTAAAAAATATTGAAGTTACTGTTCAAATGAATTATATTCTTACTTGTTTGACATTGTTCAACAATGCCATATATCACAATTTTGCATGCAAATGAAATTAATGGAAATTAGTAATTTGTGTTTGAATGATTTCAATTTATTTTGACGAAAAAATATCATCTTGGATTCTTTGTAAAAGAATCAACATTGTAAATATTACAATAAATCAATCAGTTAGTTAGTTAGTTCTAAATATTTCAGATAGTTGCAAACTATATGCCTAATTCAAAGTGATAGATCAATATGAAGTGATAAAATGACAAAATAAAAAACAAACGATGAACTAATCATATGAGCCATTCCACGTACGCAACGACCGAAGCTGCTCAATCGATACTCTATCTGATTCGCCTCATTTAAACATATGTGATAGAGGCAAGTGTTTAACGAATATTGGCGTAAGCCGATTCAAAAATACCCAGGTTGAGCAATCCGACAATAGGCACCTATCGGAACCCATCCGATCCGACTGGAATCCAATAGGATTTTATCGGATCCTGTCAGATCTTACAGAATTATCGTTGGATTCCAGGTCGAGGAATTGATGTCGGATCCTCAGTGTTGGATTCCTATGAATTCCAACGAAAAACCGTTGGATGTCATCGGAAGTTCATAGGATTCCGACACTGAGGATCCGACATCGATTCCTCGACCCGGAATCCAATAGAATTGTATCGGATTGTAGGATATTTCCAGGTTCCTATCGGATCAGTCGACCTGGGTATTAAACCATTCAGTTTTTATTGAATTTTTACGAAGAGCACTATAAAAACTCACTGCGATGGGAGGCCATTTACGGTACCCTATTTCTCAAAAAAGCATCAATCAGTTGGGCTGAAACCCCTGATACATCAACATCCAGCTAATTTCTACGTGTAAAAAGAATTTCAGCTCCAACAATTGAGTCTTTGGTATTTTATGGATTTCACCATTTAAGGAAAAAATCACCTTTTTACCAATTTTGACTGCTCATATCGCCAGACTGAGAAATGATAGAAACCTGAAATTTCTCACATGAGGACATCTCAAGTCTATCTAATCATCATATAAATTTGAGCTCTCTAGACCATAGCGTTCGCGCAGGATATCTGGAGAACAGATCAACTTTTTGCTCAAAGTCGATTTTGGGCCTCGATTTTCTCCCAAAGTATACACTCACTTTTTAATGTATCAACGCAGTGCTGAAGACCATTCTCCAGTGTACAACGTGGTATGACAATAAACTTGGGATGTCCACGGGCTGCTTTGAAATCAGTCAATCGTTTTTTTGTAAAAATGAATTTTTCGATTTTTTTTCTGCTCTCCTCACTGTTTCCATGTATCTCACGAATGATTCCCTAGAAACAATTGAAACATTCAGAGAAGATAGAGCCAACGTAATTGAGTAAAATTTATGCTAGACTCAAGTTTGTACCATTCTTTTATCTATGAGGTACTCGAACATAAGTTCCTGACAATGAACTTAATTATTCTACTATCATGTTTTTTGGTATGTTAAAAGCTGATCGAACTTAAAAGTTTTTCATGGATAGTTAAATTTACTTACAATGCTTTCCCCTCTTGTTCAACTTTTTAAAATGTACGTCACTGGAAAATGCTGTCTACGGCACTACCCAGGGTGTAGGTGTGGATCAGAGACCGAAACGAATGGCACTTTTGCCATTCGGATTCGATTCGATTTTTTAGGACCTGGATTCAGATTCGATTCCAGTTTTCTGGTCTTTCAAAGTTTTTATTCGATTCATTTCGGGTTTTCAGGACCGGGACTCGATTCGGCTTTTTTGGTTTTTCAAGATTGTAATTCGATTCGATTCGACTCAAATTGGGTTTATAAAACATGGTATTCACTATTACATAGTATTGTTCTTTTCAGAATGTCATCTTCTTAGAATGAGAATCGTCTGTCGATCTTCTATAGAAATATGTTGAATAAATATAATTTATGAATATATACATACGAATTATTAATTTTTCAAGAAAGAATACATAAAATATAAATTAATGAACACATCTAACGTAGACTAATTAAATAAGTTTATTTTTTATAGAACGAAGAAAAATAATGTCATTTACTGTATATGGATCTATATTTACAGTTGACCATAGTCATATTTAATAATAAAAAAAAGAGGTTGATATTAAGACCCCAATCACACTGGAAATGTGAATTAAGTTAAAGTCGTATTAAGCAATCTAATTGATACATAAAGAGTTAAATCACCTCTAAAAGATTACTTAACTCTTAATGCATCAATCACATGGCTTAATTCAACTATAATGTTAATTTACTTCTCAGTGTGATTGGGGCCTAAATATACATGACTAAAGAAAAAAAAGAAGGAAAGAAAGATGGAACGTTCGTTGTAAGTGAGCATTTCTTATACCAATCAAAATGCACTTGACCATGATTAGATACGTCATTTTAGAATAACGGTTTTCCGAAAAATAGCAGCCCAACCATACGTGCTACCATTCCATTCATTACATCCTTCACATATAACAAGAAATATACTATATGCAGCAGCACTACGAACGACTCGCATTTGCTCACACCCCCGAAGATCTACATCATGAGTTAGAAAAAATTAGCATAACCTTACTTTTGAACAAATATCCACCCAGATCTATTGATAAACATATCAAACGTTTCTTCTATGACATTACAGAGATGAAAACATCGAAAATACTCTTGAGTAAAGATCACTCAAAATTCAGAGAATTAGTGTTAGATACAACCTGGAACAACAAAAAAAAAGAGAGAATAAAATTTCAGTAGCGACATCCTCTTACATTTTATATATGCACCATCGTTAGCAAATTTCGGAACACATTTCCATCAGATATGGCAAGAGATATTCGAAGGTACGCCACTAGATGGCATACCTGTCATATATGCGAATCGACTCACAGATAGTCTAAAACGTATACTAGTACAAAAAAAAGCCGAGCAAAGAAGCAATAAAGCTACTGCCAACATCATCAGAATCAGCATAAAAAAGACACAACTAACAGTAATAACTGGTAGGAAAAAAAGCGAAATCAATAGCAAAAAGAGTTCAAAAAGATAAAAGAAAAAGATAAAAAATCACTAACAAAAAACGAAAACATTATTAACAACATATATTAATAACAACACTACTAATCCACATATACTATATTCTAACCTTTATCTTTATCTCAATCTACGCTAATCGATTGTAAAACACATACATATATCTTTCTTTTACCTTCTATCTTGATCTATCCTAATTGATTGTAACGCACATATCACATTTTCTTTAGCTCTTTCCTTTTCTCGTTCTTTGTTATTTTTTATTGAAACTAAAAATCTTTCTTCTAATGTAACTAAAAATTCTCCTTCTATATATTATAACAAAAAAAGCTTCCAAATCATTTTGAATCTGTCCCAATATTTTTAAAATCACCTCGCCCTACTCACATTGTTTGTAAAAAAATCACCTCCCCTACTCGGACTAACTTTCTCCGCTTCAATGTCTAAAAAAATATAAAAATATATCTAACCAACTTTTCCTCTACAAAACAATTTCACATCACTGCTCTCACCTGATTATACAAAAAAAGACATATTGCCAGCAGCGCATTGGAATAAATTAAAACAGGAAAATACATGAAAACAAGAAAATACATTAAAGTACAGTGAAATGCATTAAAACGCATGATAATATGCTAAACTACATAATAATACATTAAAAACGCATTAAAATAAATGATAATACATCAAACTACATAAGAATGCATTAAAATGTATTATTAAAAAATCTTTTTAAAAATCTTTAAGAACATCCATTGAAATTCATTGAAATCATTCGAAAATACGTGAAAACACATAAGAAAAAATTAAAAAACTACACTATAAAACAAGCACCAAAAAATCCATCGAGAGGCGGTAAAAAATGCAAAAAGAATATATTATAAAACAAATATAAAAAACATATTGCAATGCAATAAACCGAGCATGCACACATTACTTTAAATGTAACAAAAATGAACATCCAAACTAGTTGTTCCTGCGAGATTGAACTGAATTTCTCTTTATTTCGAACAAATAAAATTGATCGAACTTGTCCAAAACATCTCCAAAAATCGCTTGAAAAGATAATTCGAAAGGCCTCGCGTGATATATTTATTTATTATTTATTTATTTTCCTCTTATGAATTCCTCTTCTTTCTCCTCTGATTTATAGATATTTTTCTCTTATTTATTATTGTTTTGTTTCTTTCTTTAGTAATATTAATAAAAAATTCTTGAAAAAAATAAAAAAATCATTAAAATATTTATTATATTTATCTTTGATATTATCTTCATTAATATACATTAAAAATTCTTGTTGTCTTGTTTTATTTAAATAATTGAATTCTTATCAGAAGCAAAATACTCCGGTCGACAGTTCCGACCAACGAACATATGACTGGGAAAAGATCTCATTGAATCCAATCGGCTCCGACAAATGGATCCGACTGGATCGTATCGAATCATGTAATAAAAATAAAGGGAACCAACAGAATCAGGTCGGATTTTTAGCAAGGTTCTACAAGTTATCTGCACTGAAAAAAGGTCCATACGGAACTGGCACGAAAATTTCGAATTAGCGTTAACTTCAGAATAAATATAAGCATAAAAACATACAAAGAAATAGCAAAGATAACGAAAGAAGTACATAGAAAGTGCTAGCGACTACGATGATCGACGAAATTAGTCTTGTTGGCATAAAAGGCACGATCCCTATTGAAAACGATATTGTACTACAAGACAGACGGACAACCTATTACGGACATGGCAATGAGACACCACGGTTGTATCATAACACATCTTCTGTGCATGCAATTAATCACTGAGATCAAAGAGCAACAAGCAATCACATTCACCAAACAACTCCACAGTGGACTTCCAATATAACTCGGATCAATCAGAGACAAACTCATTAAATCCAATGGTTGGGTTAGGTCCGGGGATATACGCTAAAACGACATCTTACGAAAAGCTTCGGCAAGTGTTTTGAACTCAAACCATATTCATTTCTGTGTACAGGGCGGAGGCAACTAAAAAGCTATATTTAGAACTATTAGCATTAGCACTTCAGAAATAAGCAGCGTCAATGCCTTGCAAGCCAAAGTATGGAGAAGAATATATTCGTGCTGCGCGGCCCTTACACCTGAGAACCTAGAGTGTATTTAGACAAGCGTGTTCCCGACGCAGAATGCCTACGTATGGAAGTACGTGATATGTTGTTGAACAAGGAGGCACGTGGTTTCTTACTATTTATTTCAGGAGTACTTGTACAGTGTTGCATCGATTTTCGGATTCTATTTGACAGGAGTGACTGATTTCCATCGAGATTCGGTGATCGGGATCTTAGCGTTGCGGCAGAATGAGAGTGATAGAGAAAAAATTCATGTCACCATCGACAGGGAACTCGAGTGCACTGGTTACATGTGATTTTATGATATTCTTTCGATACTGAATTCGTTCCGATATGAGAAATTCGATGCTTCTCAAAATTGCTTTCTTTCTGGGAAATTCGTATGTTTTGGGACGATTCACCCGATTTTGAGAAATTAATTATTTTTAGTTTTCATTGATTTTCCGAAATTCAGAATTCAGGTTTGAAGTGAATTATTCTAAAGATCTCCTAGTTCCTCATTTCGTTTTGAAATGAGATACTCTTTTTTCGTTTCAAATTCAGATTGAAATCGTATACCCCATTGTATGAGTTTTGTAGAACTCTCTAAGGGCTACAGGATGCTTTATTTTTCATAAAGGGAATTGTTGTTGCGGCCATTCAGAAGATTAGAATTGCAATAATGGGGTGATTAATTAAATGGAATTAATTTATCTAATTAATTTATAGATTTAGGTAAGATTCTACAAAGAATTCGTATTTCTAACTTTGCCATTTCTTCAAATCTTTCCAATAGTTGCTGACGAAGATGACATAAATGTTGAATAGTCTTTTTTTTATGGATGATGGTGAGTTTCTTTTAATAAATAGAAAGAGTTCTATTCTGATGAATCATTTCACCTATTCACGACAAATCCACATCATGTTCGAAAGAATGCACCCACGCTGGACACGCCTCAACAAGTACGAATGATTTGTCGAAGGAGGATCGAAAAATCAGAACAGGAATCGAAACCATATTTTCCTATAACCGGTCGGCTTTTATACCGTTAAACTACCTGATTTTCTCCCAGGTCTTAAAAAAAGACAACATATTCGGCATTTCATCAAAAGATATACCTGCCAGAACAATAGGGATTAGGAAACAACAGTTTATCTCTTATTGATGCACGAGGACTGTGAAACCTATGCAGACGCTATAAGAATCTTCCGAAGTAGCAAAATAGATCTCTTTATCCACGATGGTTGTTGATACAGGCATCAAAACAGTAGAGCTACTACTTCATTCTATTGATTCTTTCGCATTCGAATAGGTGGATTATATCATGCAGCAAGGTCATTAGACTTTTGGTGAGCTTGCAAATAAACTTAAAAGAGTTCAGAGATTAGTTTTATTAGATCATTCGATGTATTTATTAGAACAGACATGTAACAGAAATACCAAAGAAATTGGAGGAGAGGAGGAGAAAGGATCAAAATAAAGATATAGGTGAAGAACATGCAAGCACAAGTTAGACAAATCGAGTGAAGAATAGAACATTTTTGTATGGAAATATAAGCAATAATGCTATGGACAAGAGTAAAGGCTTATGTTAGTTCTTCATTAACAGAAAATGGCATGAAAATAATGAATATAAAGCTCAGATCATTTGTCGCTCCAAGCTGTATCATCGGTGATCAAGCGCTGACCTTCTTCGATTGCTAGTTGATCTTTTTCATTTGGTCCACCTAGTTTGTCGATTAACGTGGTCAATTCTGTGTTTCGCGTGGTGAATTCCTTGTCAAAATTTTCTTTGCGCTCAACAATAAGAGTTTTGATCTCTTTGAGCGTCTGATCTGTCTGTCGCGTAAGATTATTCATTAATTCTTCTCGTTCTATTTTATTTCGAACAATAAGCATACCAGAAAGACTTGAGAGTCGTCCCATCAAATACTTGCTCGACACTTCATGATAGGTGTGTGCCATGACAAAGAGAATATACGCTTCACGGTGGATGCCAAACGTGTCTTCTTTAAGGATATCGATTATTTGCATGCGCATGGCTAGATCCAGATTGCTGCCGACAGCAGCTACCCTAAGGAATCGTTTCAATGGACCCTTGATCATGTCGTGAATGTATTCTGACATTGTAGTGAAGAAAGCGACGAAATTATGCCACTGTGTCTCCACCTGAGTAAGTAGAGTGAAGGCTTCCTTGAGCAAAGCGATGATCTCTTTATAACTAATTGTGGTTAAGTCGACGGAGATCATTTTCGCGTTGATCTCCCGCATACCTTCGAGCAATTTGAGGTATTCTGCAGCCTGTTCATCTTGGCGGCGGCGCATTTCCGTCAACTGTTTCTGAGCAATTTGTGCTTTAAGAATTTCATTCTGTGACGAGTCACCTGCTGTATTTGTTCCAATCGTGGATAGGGTATGTGAAGCGGCCTTTGGATCGATGTTCTGATAAGCACTTTCAAACGATCCAAGATCATCGCAGATTTTCCCGAGCTCTTCATTAACTTTGATGTTGGTCTCATTGCTTAATTTCAATTGTTGGGCATTTTGGGTTGTCGTCGCTGCAAGAGCCTCGCTGTGTTTAATCAACTTGATTGCCTTTGCCTTCGCAGGATTATCAGGTAGCATCGTGATATAATCATGAAACGCTTTGAATGCAATACCGTAACCTTTCATTAATTTCGGATCGCTACTATTGGTCAAAAAAGCATTTTGAAATGATCGTAATGAGTTAGCAAATTGAGTCGCCATGCTGAGCGTCTGACTAAGACCGAATGAAAGTGGTTGCTTGCCTTCCATATTACCAGTCATTGCTATGGGATTGACAGCCTGATGAAGTTGTGCTCCAACTCGTCCATTTTGACCAGTCAGTACGGCTGCACCAGCTTCGGCAACCGTATTGGCTAACTTCAATATACCACGAGCAAAGTCTTTGAGCAGAGCTCCCATTCCTGTTGGTATGTCATTCAATGCTTTGGAATAGGTCGCTTCAGCTCTATCTGCTGTATCAGTAGCATCTTTGTATAGCTTAGCACGGAATTTTTCCTCTTTCTCCAAATCTGCTTTCAGTGAGCGCAATATTGCCATTTCTCTCTCGTTCTCTTCTACTTTGGACTCGTGGACTGATTGCGTTGCTGCCGTTGTTCGAATCACTTCTTGAACAAGTTCCATTACTCGAGTGAATTGGTTTTTCGTTGCGTTGGTCAATGTAACACATTCTTTTCCTGTTTCTTCAATACTGCCCAATACCTGAGGAAGTAAACGAGTGAGTACGCGTCTTGGAAAGTTGCCACCAAGTATTTTCAGTGCGGTCTTGATGTGTTTTGGTATTTGAATCATTCTTAGTTGAATGACGTTCATCGTCGAATGACCACTAAGAAAGGCATTGTAACCCTCTGTAAAACGAGCAGATAGAAACAGTAGTTCAATCCAAAGAGCACTCATGAAATGGCGAAGTCGAAGCATCCTTGCTACAGGTTGCTGACTGGAAGTATTATAGACACAAGTACGGTAAAAAAATCTGTGAAGCCTACTCTCGAATACGAAATTTTGTCTTTGAACTTTGACTTGGCTGTATACAAAAAATTCTCTACTAGAGTTATCGAAGTGATTAACTGAAACAAATGAATCGTTGAACCCGTTTTCAGATTTCTCATCCACTCGAGTCTGCACTTTACTTTAATTCAAGTGCATCGTTTGATGAGAACAGTGTCCTTTGAACAAGGACGAAGCTAGGTGGAAACAACGGACTTCAACACTTCATAAGACTTCAACAGCAGGGACTTCAAATTTTCAAGGGATTGTGAAAAAACTTCAGAAAACTTTATAGGACTTCCATAGACGTCGAGCTACTTCAAAGAACTTCTTGAGACTCCAAAAGTCTTCATCAGATTTCATCGGACTTCAATGAACTTCAGGATACTTTCGAGACTTTAAAAGGCTTCCAGAATATCACGACACTTCTTGAAACTTCCAAGATTTCTTGAGATTTCTACAGACTTCAAGAGACTTCATGAGATTTCACGTGGTTTTAACAGACTTTTAAGACTTTACAAGACTTCACAGTTGAAATCTTTTTTATTTCCCCCCTAGAGACGAACTTACTATGTATGTTCTATCATTATTTCAGAGATACAAATAATCATGGGTAACTCTTGAAGCTAAGTCTTAGTTCGAAAACGAATTTTCTATCAAACGGCAAAGCGGCATATTTCGATTTAATAGGTGTAAGCATAACATGTGTATAAGTGAGTCTCAAGTATTTGTTTCGGTCTATTACTTATATTGGCCTAGTTTGAGAAAGTGAAGGCAAAAAATTCAATGTTTTATTTAGTATAAGATGCTCCTATATTTCATAATGCTCTGCCTCAAAAAAATTCTCATCAATGCATCTCTACAGCTTACCGTGTGCTACTTGTAAGAGAGTAGCTCGTAATGATTCGGGATTTCGAATATATGTAAATTTGCGATCAGGTGCAAGGAGAGAAACGTCTTTTGTACTCGCGACAATCAGTAACTGTCCCATTAATTGAATAGTCACAGGTGCGACGATCATACACTGTTCCGAGCTAGCATCTATTGCAGTTCTTTCTGTAAGAGCATTGAGAACTGGCGTCTTGAGTGACACATCCACAGCTAAAACAATTCATTGATTCAACTGTATGAATTTATCATGACTTACTTGGCGCTTCTCGTCGCACTCGAAGACCATGTGTAACAACAGAACCGGCATCCGTCAATTTGAGAAGAATAAGAGCTCCAATCACGACATTGCAAATAATTCTACTGAGGCATAATATATTTTTTTCTTTCATCTAGAACAGGAAAGAGAGAGAGAGAGAGAGTATTTTAGGGAAAAAATGGTCGTTTAGATCAATTAGGATCGTTTTATAACATTGCAGAGTTCTGATGTAAAAGAGGGAAGCGCTCTAGTTTCTCACTCAGCTGATCTAGGACTCGATCAACTGCAGCAATAGTATTCACTGTTATTTCGAAATTAAACGATGGCATCAGCTGGTCTTTGATCATTTGTTCGGCAAGAGTTTTGAGCGGTACGATGACGAGCTCAAAATCGATGAGACTTTTGAGCTCAGCTGTGAGCATTTTGGAGGAGTCGAGTACGTTCGTCAGATGCACTTTAACATTGCGGAACTGATTCAGTAGAGACGAGATAGCTGCATAATTTGTTCGCATCTTGGAAAGTTGTGTCTGGAGTATGCTTTGCTGTATATTCTTGAAATATTGTTGGAGTTGTATGTTGGAAAGTTGTGTGCGTTTGCTGGCTAGTTCTTCTTGCTGAATTGTCAGTCGGTGACGTGCATCGTTCAGCATATTGCCTGCCAGGTTTCTTGCATCTTTCGCTATGTCAATACCACCCATGTTGACAACGCTACATACTGGCTTGATCACCGCCCAAGTCACAGCCTGGGCGACTGGTTTCGCCACCCAATTCGTAGCCTGGACGACTGGCTTCGCCACCCAATTCGTAGCCTGGACGACTGGCTTCGCCACCCAATTCGTAGCCTGGACGACTGGCTTCGCCACCCAATTCGTAGCCTGGGCGATGGGTCTCTCGACATTGTTTCTCCACCAGTTCCCAAAAAGACGCTTCTTCCGACGTCCGTTTTGGCATACACGAGCTCTGTCCACTTTATGCTCGGCGTCGCGCTGCGCACGCTCAGCATTTTGAACTGCGGCCTCTCGTTCACGCACGACTTGTTCAGCGAATCTGACCTGTTGTTCTCCCGAATCTATGGTTGATGTGAGTTCGCTAATTGTTGATACCAGTTGGCGAAGCTCTTCTTCCTGTTTTGAAATGTCTAAAACTGCAGTCGTAATCCGTGCGTATGTTTGATTATGCAGTTGTTCGCATTCGGAGGAAGCGTTTCCTAAAAGTTCGTGTACGCTATTGACGGCGATACCTATTTCACTCACGAACACTCTTAATCGATTCTGTTCGCTGTTAACTTGATCAAATTCTGTGACAGCTGATTCGATAATGTTTTCTGCATTTGTGACTGTATCGTTTTCAGTTGTCTCATCAGTACTGACAATTGCGTATGATTTAGTGTCTTCTGATTCATTTGAGCCAAGTTTGTCGTCATCATCATCATTTAAACTTGTGGTAGTCATCAACCCAGGCACAGTCTCATCACTCACGTTTTCTTGTGTGTTGTGTTCATCCACAGAAAATTGATCGTCGACAGATTCGTTCCATACACGAATCTGCTCGATCGTTTGTGGAATTTCGACTGTATTATCGTCTTCGGAGACTTGTTTGGCAGTAGTCATCATTTTCTCAGTTATTTGTTCTTCACTATGTAGATTCAATTCGTCTTGAGGTTGTTTTTCTTCACTTTGTTCATCGGTTTTTTCATTAATATCGTCTTCGAATTGCTGGTAATTATCTTCCCTTTTTCTAATTTCAGCAGGGTGATGTTCTTCTTCAGTTGGTCCATCAACTTCGTCTTCAATTTTATGATTGTCTTCATTTATTTCTTTTCCTTCTTTTGATTTTTCTTCCACTTCATCATCCGGTTTGTGAACAACTTCCTCTATGTTTTCAGTTTTGGAAGAATGTCCATCTTCAGTGCTGCGACTAAATGCATCTTCAGATTCGTGTTCATCCTCTTTGTTTCGATTGACTGTTGATGTCTCGACGATATTTATTATGTTCGGATTTTCGTCAAAGTGTAAAATACGTTCGATAATATCATTGTTGAGTATTCGATAAGCAGTGCTGTAGAGAGGTACCACTTTTGTAGTCATCTCATTTCGATACCATTCAACCTCGTCCAAACTATTGTCTTGATGTGGAAGAAGGCCCAACACGAAAAGAAACAGGAGTATTTTCAACATCATATTGTATGGTGGAATCGATTTGACTGTTTGTATTGTGCCCTTTATATATGGATACATGCTGTTAGTCCTTATCGTGAATGAAATTAGATCATATTATCACTTTGGTTTCGATAAAGAAAAATCGGATTGTTTCTCACTTCCTCTTTTTACTCGTCGAAATAATTCCTATTCGTCGATGCTAAATTTGACTCAAATACAAGCAAGCATAAAATTTCATCAAAATAAGAACAGTGGAAGTGATCGTTGTGTATATGAAATTGGATATGAGGAAGAGAATAGTTATGAATCAAGAGCAAAGAAACAAGACAAACAAAGATAAACTATCTTGAGGGTGAGTCTAGCTTTGCATGACCCAGATTTTGACCTTGCTTAAGGATTATCATCAGATGGCTTTAACTCTGTCGATACTTGTTCAAATGATCTCTAAAGAAATCACAAACAAAGTATATACAAATCTAAACAGAATCTATCAAAGTTAGAAATGATAGATATCTCTACATGACAGAGTTGAAACCATCTCTGCTTCTAGGGATATCTAACTTTACTGTAGGTTTAAAATTTATAGTAATTGAATAGATTATGTCTCTGAAACTTATGTGATCTTCGGATCATTTTAAATAATTTCAGATTGAAAGTCGAAGCCATCTGATGATTCCTTTAGTAGGGATGAAATCGCGATAATGGTTGCACTGATTCACCCTCACACTCTCAATGGTCAGTATAACTTGTGCAACGGTCCGTATCTTAATTATCAATAGTTACTAATAAAACAATGATTTTATTGTATGTAATTATCAGTAAAATGTTATAAGTTATATAATTCTTACTCTTCATCAATACTACAAATTCTGTCATCATTATAATACTCCTTAGCTCCCGTGTAACGAATGACAACTTTGTCACTACCTGTACGATTCCAGCAGATGAATACTTGTAATACGTTGATGTTCACGATGTCTGACTTTGTTTCAGCGATCAAAGGATGAGAATGAGGATACTAGAAACGATAACATTTTACCAACGAAGGACAAACTGATTTCAAATCGCGAAATCAACTCGAAATCTTGAGGGTGTGGGTATGTTAGTTGATCTGTGTATGAATCTTATATTCTGTCACACCCGCACCCTCATTTTTGAATCGCCTTGCGCCAATATTCATTAAACACTTGCCTGTATCACATATTTTTAAATGAGACGAATCGGAGAGTATCGATTTAGCAGCTTCGGTCGTTGATTATGTGTAATGGCTCATATATGATATTTAAGATGTTACAGTTTTATTAATAAACACTTATTGGTGTCCCTATCAGGTGAACCCCTTACATTCTAAATGTTTGCATCAGAAAATATTCAATATAAACAAAATCACGTTACTGATTGTTTTAGGATAGTATCTAAAATCTATTTTTCTATTCCCAAATAATTGATTACAAAAACAAAATTATAGCGATCACGATAGAAGAAAAAAAGCCCTACGAATATAGAAGAGCTAGAGAAAATCATATTAAAATGATGGACGATCACCGTTAATACGTTGCAACAGAAGATTCCAAGCATGCTCAACTTGTTTCTGAGTAACACTTTCTGCCCAATAAGTACAAAAAAGAACATTAGCATATGAAAAACGTTCTTGATTTGATATTTGAGCACTCAAACGACGTTTTGCTTCCTCTATCGATATTCGATCACGTTCAACAACACGTCGAATAGCCTGAAGAAAATAAATATAACAATAGATAAATGAATATACATCTCATAGAAACAGAAAACACATACTTCTTTTGGAGGGATAGATGCAACCCATATTTCATTTACAGCAACAGTCCATTTTGCTTCAATCAATATAGCTGCATCAAGAAAAATAATACGTTTACCTAAAGAGAGGTTTTTTTGAAAAATAAAACAAAAATTTTTCCTTATTACCTTCTTCAAATAAACAATCAATGCGTTCTCTTGCCAGATTTAAAATAGCAGGCCAAACAATATCTGTTAGTTTCTTAAGTTCATTAGATGATTGAAAAACTTTTTTACCAAGTAGTTTTCTATCAATGGATCGATCCGTAGAATTAATAATATCTTCACCAAATGTTACGATTATCTGTTTATAAACCTCAGTATCCACCTTATACGTTTCATGACCTGTATATATAAGTTAAAATGAGATATTTTTTTGACATGAAAACATTTTTTTGAAGTATTAGAAAAATCAAATACATGCCTAATTTATCACAATCAATAATGGAAGCACCTAGTTTTTGTAACCGACGACCAATACTTGATTTTCCAGAGCCTATACCACCAGTAAGACCAATGATATAGGGTTGATTAGATTCAACACATTTCTATAATCATGAAAAAAAGACTTCGAAAATGCCATTGTTAAATTAAAAATATTGATAATTACCAAAGGTGGTTTAAGAAGGATACCAAGAATTTCTCGTCGAAGTGAAGTTGAACTTAATTTCTTATCTCCGTCTTGATTATGATCATCAGGTGGAACCATAGGTACGACATGTACATCTATTAGGCTTAAGCCATTATCTTGTCTCTCTTTATTCACTTGCAAAGCACCTTGTTTTGTTTCATCAGTCACAATAATACACTGAATAATCATATTTTCATCAATAAACAAATTAGAAATGCTGTTTTTAAAGAACCTTACATTTAAATCTGCCATTGTGGTTGATGGACCACATGGATCTTCAATTGGTTCACAGTGTACAAATATGCTAGGTCGAATGAGGCCAACAAATGATCGAACATTTGACATACGATCAGTAACTGATTCAATGACTTCAGCTAAAACCTAAATAAATACAATACATTAAGAACCTGTGATATGTCACAATAATTCAGAAGCGCTTTATTGTTGATTTCAAATTAAATGAATTTTCATTTTAACTAGATGATTACAACAATGTTTCAAGAAAAATTACTTTGTTTTCTATCATGACACCATCGGTTACACCAACAACAATTTTCTCATCACAGAGTAATGCACTTTCAGTCAATAATAGTTTGTGACCATTATGTAATCTATCAAATGTACCTAAAAGTAACAACAATAGATGTAGAATTGATAAATAATTCCTACTTACCACCCAAAACTCCTCGATTATATCGACTGGTACATTTCGTACTAAATAAATCATTATCACATGTAGACAAATTATCAATGAATTGATCTTCCTTTGTTTCTTTTTCATCAATAATTCGAAGTTCAAAATTTTGATCTAACCGATGAAAATGATCTCGACAATACTCATATAATCCTGTCGAAGATGAGCAATCAGCAAAAACTGCTTCACATGTACGAGGTAATTGAAGAGGATTCGTAGATTTTATTACTGAATCAACATTATGAAGAAGAATATTAACTGAAGGATTTTTTGTTGCTGACAATTGTTTATAAATAGCATGTAACAAAGGACGTATGCGTTGCTTCTGTTGTTCTCGATCGAAGAGCTTCTCAGATGACGATGCTAATGATGATGACGAGGATTGAAAATTTGGATTTTCAATAATAACATAAAGATTTCTTTCAACATAAGGTATAACGGCAGAAAGAATAAATGGAATACGAGAACGGATTGGATTTGTAATTAACAAGAGAGCTGTTTGGAATCGACGCATATTTTTGTCAGTCATAATAATTTGTCTTGGATGAAATTTTACATTCATGAAATAAAATCATAATATTAGTAAAAGAATACTATGATATGAAACAATAATTTTAGTCTAGAAGAAGAAAAATAAAAGAATTAGTACAATTATATTTTTGCTACGAAATAAATATAATTTTCAAATTCTAATCGTATACAGAAATACTATCAGAACTAGAAGAAATCAAAATAGTTCTGTCAAAAATTCTCTCTTGTCAACATACATTTTGTTCTATCTAATTGTAATATTCATTTATAACTTCATTTTTATAGAAATGTTTTTCGAAAATAATTCAAAACAAATACTTTTATTAATTGATTAGAAGTCATCATTCAGCGGTGCTCTAACATGTTATGTTACAACAAGTAAATATATATATTTAACGAAGAACCCATAGTTTCATTGACATCATTATTATTGGAAATCATGATGTTCACGATGCTTCTTATGGATCCAAATCAAATTTAGTATTTTTAATTATGAATTAATTTCTCGTTTGATTCATCGATAAGCAGATCGTTAACCTTGAAAAATAGAAAATAAAATACATTTCATTTTATTTTATTTTATTTTTAAATACAAGACAACATAATCGATTGCACATAAAGATCAAAATATGATTGAGAAATAAAAAATCAATGTGAATATCTATAGGTGGGTTTGATCGGAATGACGACTACTCGATTTTATGATAAATATGTATAAAATGGAATAAGATATTTGTTTTAGTTCAAGCAAAATTCATCATTCAAGTGATGTTAATGTCGTAAGTTGTTTTAACACTTTAATTTGACTCGTTTCTCGTATTTCGCCAGCAAGAAACATCTCATCGACTACTGAGTAAACCTTAAAATACAATATTTTAATAATTACTACCGGCGATTATAAAAATTTAAAAAAACTTTACTTTATAAAAATTGAAGACTAAATCAAGTTCGCATACATTGTGGAAGAATCTTTTCGTAAGAATAAAAACATTAAATAAATTATATTTTTTTTTGTAATATTTATCTTACTCATTGAGAACTTCAACAAAATTATGTATTGCTTCAAGATAAGCTAAATTATTATCATTAACATCTACACAAATACAAAAGTATAAACCAGCATAACGACGATAAACTATTTTGAAATTACGAAACTAAAATAAAAAGATTAATGTTATTACGAATCATTATGGATGTAAACACATAAGTCATACCTCGACAAAACTAAATTAATAAGAAAAAAAGAAAAATAACAGAATTTAGTAGAAGAGAAAGATATTTTTCACGTACTTTGTATGTTTAGCATCACGTACAGTAACCAAAGCATGAACTTCTTCAATTAATTTTTGTTTTTCATCATCATGAAAGTTCATGAACCTACGAACATATACATTCCATTTTCAATTATATATAATAATCTCTAGACAAGGTATTAATTATAGTAGTATACTTTTTTCTGTACAAAATAAAAGCATATAATTTATTGTAAGTTTAGAACTGAAGAAATTTAAACTATTTAGTTGTTTTCGTTTAACAAATATTTTTGTAAGAAAATAGTGAATATTGGTAATTAATTCGAAATTTTGTGACTGTCTTCTCTCCTAACAGGCTCAAACAAAGTTCATTGCATACATATTTTCATTTAGCAACTAATGTCAAAAGATATCAGTCATTGTTCATAAATTTCCTAAGAAATGGAGAAAATGTCTGATACACATTAAAAACAAGATATAAACTAGTTTACAGCCTTCGTTAAAATGTATTTTTTTTAAATATGTTTGTAAATAATCTTATTATTCTCGTCTTGATATAAGAAGATTAACGAAATACGTATGAGTTGCAAAGTTCAATTGCTAAGGCACTCAACTGACTAAGATTATGAACTAGTTCAAAATATAAAAAACTAATCCTATGAAAAGTAGTAAAAATATGTTTATATGTGCATACCATTTAGCCAAACGTGTTTTTCCAGCTCGATTTTGAATAAGAATGAATCGAATCATAATTACTTTGAATAAAATTCAAATGATCTAGAAAAACGAATGAGAAAAGAAAAGATGAGTTAGAAGAAAATAACAATGTTCATATTTCAAGTTTAAGTGTCAAAAGAGCGAATAGCCATTTAATAAAAAGTCCTACAAGTTGAAATAAAAATCTTGGACAAAATATTTTCCATAACATTAAATGCCGTCTCAATATAAATACACTAAATGATGTTATCATTAACTTAAAACAATCAATAATTAAAATATTCCGTAATAATTCTTCATGATATTTCTTTTGAAGCATTTTTCGAATAAAAATTATATTTAATATCTGACCGGAAAATGTTTCCACGAGAATAAATATTCCACGTACGAATAATGAATTAACAATTAATGAAAGATAAATATTCATGGATGAATTTATTGTTGGAAATGCTGCTGTCCAACGTATTTGTGATAGAACTGGTTGATGACCGGTGGCATAAAAAAAGTAATCAGCTAATATAGATAAAATTAATGAATAGGATCGATGATTATCATTAAAAATGATATAATAAATAAAATATTGAAGAAATATCACAAATGAAAAACGATAACCAACAACAAATATAAGAATCGAATAAATTAATCTATCAAAGTGATTTGGTTTTAACAAAACAACGCAAATCTGAATGAGAATACTCAAATAAAATATTGATAATGTATGAGGAATATTTAACCAATAACCAACTACAGCTGCATATGATATATAAGGTAAGAAATAAGAATAATTACATGTTATAAAAAGAATAATCAACCAAGCAATTGCACTCATCAATGGAAGAAAATAATCAGAAGTATCTGAGAACTTCGAAACAAGCCATATTGGATCAATACAATAAGGTTGCTGTTCTTCACGACAAATTAGAAATGTTCGAGTTAAGAATAATAAAAAAGAAAGAAGAAATTTTTGCAATATTTTCATTTTACTTATTAATACAATTGTTTGAAGAAGAAAATTGAGACACATTGCTTCATTTATAATGAAACTATTTGAAAATGATATCATACAATACATGAGAGCAAGAATAACATTAAAAATTATATTTCCGTAATTAATTGACATTGTAAATAATTTCAAATAAATCCATACAAACAATAAACATGATAATACCATTAAAAATAGACCAATTATAATCCGAAATATGTTGAATGTTGACCATTGACGACGACAATGTGTTTGTAATTCAAATTTAAATTCTTTAAATAAATTTTCTATTGCAGTTAAATTTCTTTCCCTGTCAAATGATATAAATATAGTACGTAAATTAGCACGTAATTCTTGTAATTTATCGGATAATGAAAGTGTAAATGAAGTATGTTGTAAGTAAATTTCAATTTGTTCAAAATTTAATTTCATTGCACTATATCGTTGTTCTAAAGGTATTATGTCAACAATCATCATACCTAAGCTTGAAAACGGTATCAATGTATGAAGAAACCAAGAAAGTGTTGGTACAAGATCTATTTGTGAAACGGATTTTTCGCTTTGTTCCGATAATGAAAAATAATTAGGTTTATTTGTATATATGAACATAGCTGTTTCAATTTCATTCAATTCATCTCCACCATGATCACCCTGTTGTGTCATACCATGATCACCGATAACCATTAGAAGAGATGGTGAATTTGATTTATTAAACGATAATGTTATATTTCGAATAACATCATTCATTTGATTCAATTTACGTTTCATTTCAATGTGATATGGACCATATCGATGACCACAATGATCAACACCTAATAAAAAGTTAGAAAAAATAAAAATTGAAACAATATTGAAGCTTTTTACACTTAAAAATTCTCAAAAACATATAATGTACTTATTGACGTCAAATATTTTTCTTCTCATAAACAGAAACTTATTTGTAATCCAATTGCAGTTTTTTTTTCGAAAATAAATTCTCAATATAGTATATTGATCAAAAACATGTCTATGTTCTTTTTTCAATATAATACAAAATTTTGATTCTAAAGACGTCGCCATAGGACTAAAAACAGTATGAATATATATAGATATATATACACGTATTGTCCAAATATTTTTTCGATCACAAATTATGATGATTTTTGACATTACTATATATTGTATTGAAACAAACAAGTATAGAATAGAAAGAAAAACGAGCACACTATCCTATGATCGAATTGCTTAAATAAGACTTTGTTTACCTAAAAAATGAGCAACAATAAACGATAGTTGCTCATGTCGAGTATCTTCCATAACTGCCCATAAATGTTCAAGAATACCATTATCAACTGTATCTAAATCATGAACATCAAACGATGAATAAACATGTAAATGTTTAAATTTTATATTTGAATAAAGTGCTAACCATGTATCATCACCTAATAATGAAATATTTCTTTGGTAAGGAATATTTTTTAATTGATTTAAAATATTATCTTCTTCAATTTCGTAACCAATAAAATTATATGATACATCAATAAATGTTGGCAATGTACCAGTTGTTAATGCTTTTAAACGTTGAAGTGTTGTTGTTGGTGGATCGGCAATTAGTTTTAAAAGAACTGATTGTTTAGATTGTGTCTCAAGTAATTCTTTGATAAATGGCATTTGATTTAAATAATTATTACTTATTGAACTATTATTTGGTTTAATAAAATCATAACGAAGTGCATCGATGACAATCAAGATCACTTGATTGAATTCAATGGGTACGGATAATGGAATAGTACCAATAGTATTTTGTAAAATAACACGACGTGTTAATAAAAATCCATTGAGAAAAAAAATCAGACCAATGATATACAGTACACTAAGCGATAGTAATTTATAATTCATATCTAGAAAAAACAAAATAGGCTAAAATGTGAGATAATACTCGATATTACATCGAAATGATGTATAATTTCGTTCGAGCTCTAGTAAATAATTAATGTCAAAATCAATTGTACCATTCAATTCAACTACATGAACATTTATCATTAATAAAAATATTAATAATAAACGATCAAGTTCCACATTTTCGATGTAAAGAATAAGTGAACGAAGAGATTCATTTTGAGTTCGATAATCAATATCTTTATCCATATATTCACGATTACGATCGTTAAGACGCGCACTTATATGACGTAATTCTTGTAGTTGACCAATCAAAATAGGAAGATGTTCATGAAAGACATTCTCTGGTATTTCTAACAGAGATGACATTAAATCCATTTTTGTTTTTCGTTTAGATACAAATCGATTCGTTCTTACCGAAAATACGAACTGCTTGTGTCTCTTTCTTTTGTTGTTGTTGTCGTTGTTGTAGATACTATTATAGATGATTGCCAGTGAAATCTTTCACAAATAACTAATTGGGATATTTTGGCAACATAGGATTAAGACTAAAGCTTAATAAGTCCATTCAATACCCACTAACGATGAGATAGATTCGCGGTTTTTCGAAATCACACCTGTTCAATATCTAGTATCACATAAAGAGATAATACACATTTGTCAGCACATGCAAGACCGTAAAAAGAACATTAGGATTCCTAACTTTTTTCTCAAGGACCATTTTTATATTCGAACGACATGCGTAACTTTTCTTTTAAAGCCTACATTCATCTATACACAATCCTAAAAATGGAAAGGGAAATCTGATTTTGTCGGTATATGACAAATAGATGATCGATCGAATAATACAATAAGGATATCTAGTATAGACTTAATATTAGAATAGATAAATTTAAGCTTTCTACTGACTAATATTTTCTATGCATATGTTAATTAGATCTGTAGCTTTTTAAACAACAACACTTTATCAGAATCAGAAATGAAAGAAAATTTGAAGTTTTTCGAAGAAGATGGTTTTTGTTCATTTTAAGTTTGCCTAAGAAGTGATATCTAATAGAGAGTCTGATCTATTTATTTTACCGATATCTTATCTGAATAATCCTAAATAAAATCACTTGAAGAGCAATCACAATTGATGATGAGACGCCGAAGTTTACTTAATTTATTTTTTTCTTGAAGAAAATTTAGATTTGTATGGAAATGACATTGCATTGAACATAGTTGTAACTGTTGATTAAAGACAATATTAAATATGTCATTCAAATGTTTTTCATTTTGAATATATTTCGTATCAATAAAAATATATTTTAATTGGCAATGTTTAAGTATTAATGTTAACTCATTTAATTTAACATGATATAATCTAACAGCTAACAAGTTTGTTAATGACATTGAACGAAGAATTATTTTTAAATAATTTGTTTCATCTGATATAGATAAATAACGAATATAACCAGCAATTTTCGGTAATATAACATTTCTATATATAGAGAATTCATATAATTTCAACGATGTCATATTTGCTTGAAAACAATTATGTTGGTCAATAACTAAGGAATTGAGACGTTGATTCAAATCAAAAAATGCTTGAAATAAATCGAATACATCGAGATAGTCAAATATTTCAAAGAATAAATCATTTGAAAGATCAATCAATGACGATATTTGTTTCATCTAAAATTGAATGAAAAACATAATGAAAGAATATTACATTGTCACTGAATTCACAAAATTAAGCAATTAGAATATCACATCTTTGGAAAAAGTACAAATAAAAAGAACAAAATGAAATTATGATCATCAAATATAGAGAGATAAGGTTCGTACGAGAACATCAGAATTTGAGATCGAACCAAAACAGGGACCTAATATATATCTGAGCATTGAGCATAAATTAATATTTGTTGATGGCACATGTCGGTTTATTTTTCTCGTTTAATCTTTTTGACAGTCTAGAATCATCAAGAAAACTTTAAAATATTGAACGAAAAACTAAACAAAAATCGTTGTCAAATTTACTTGTGTATTAGGTTTTTCATCAATTAATTCAATAATATTTTCATGCTTATCAAAAACGTTACGATTTAATATAGCCATATCCATTGTATCGGAGTTTTTTGAACAACGTCGCATTTCAGCCACTATTTTAAGAGCACAATTCCGATAAACATGATGAACATCGCGTAAATGTCTTGGCATATCAAAACGTGATATTTTTGATGAACATGGAGCTTTTATTATATATTTTGGTTGGCAATCAAATGGATTTTTTGAATCTTGATTAAATGGACATGCCACATGAAAATTTTTATTATATAGTACATCTTTTGCACCAAAAAGTACGGTTGTTAACGAATCGCGTTGTTTGAAAAGAGCTTTACAAATTTTATATGCACTACAGGCCGTTATGTGGTGAAAACTTTGTAAATGATTATAGAGACAACTTGATTTTCCTTCACATAAACGAATATTGTGCGTTGGAAGAATACCAAAGACACCTGAACGCGTTAAAGGACATAAACCACGATAAATCGTTATAGATTGATTTATATTTGATGATGACGATGTTGAATGATTGTTTGACGCTCTTCGACGATGATTATCTTCATAGTCCTCGCATTATCATAAATGAAAGCAAACAATATAAGTATGTTTTATTGTGTATGTAAAAGTAAACTTAAAAATTTGTAGTATTAAAATAGTATATCTAATAACTATCGCTTAAACAATTTCTACATGTGAAACCATTCGAAATAGTGAAAGATCATATTTCTATCTTCTTAACAATTAATTTTCATTCGATAAATGATACGAACACTGTTCTAAGAAAATATTTTATACTTACTGAATCATTTTCACCAATATCACTAAAATTCAAATCACTATGTTCTCCTTCCTCTGCCAATGAACTAAAAATAAACAATGCAGAACAATAAATAAAATCTGCATAAGTGCTGACTTTTCAGATTTATTATCTTGATTGTCGATTGATAAACTTGTACTGTTCGCTACTAATNTGAATCATTTTCACCAATATCACTAAAATTCAAATCACTATGTTCTCCTTCCTCTGCCAATGAACTAAAAATAAACAATGCAGAACAATAAATAAATCTGCATAAGTGCTGACTTTTCAGATTTATTATCTTGATTGTCGATTGATAAACTTGTACTGTTCGCTACTAATAATACAACATTAAAAAACAGATGGAAAATTTAACAGTCCTTACGAGAATTTGATGCAAGATGATGTACATGATTGGTTCTAGAATGAAGAAAAAGTCATATGAATATCACAACTATCGATTTAATTTAACAACTTACATTTGATTATTAAAATTTATATTATCGATAAATTCATTGGGTTCAAGTTTAATATTAACTGGTGCATTCGAATCTGAATAAACACGTTCTCGTTGTTGTTCACGTTCAATGGCAACATCTAATTTTTCTAAATATTTTTTTAAATCGTTTATTGTTGATTTTGGTTCAATTACAGATGTTGCTTCTGTTTGTAATTGATGATAGTCATGCCTTCGCTGTTCATATGTGCGTCGTATTTCTGTACAGGCTATTTCGATATCGCGTTTTTCTTGTTCATTGAGCTTTTTTTCATCAATGAGTCTATTATATAAAGCAAATCGTCTTTGAATTTTTCGACGAAATTCCTTCGGTAAATCATTCTTCTCTTGTTCATAAATACGATGATGTTCTTGTAAGTGTTCAAAGCATACATAACGTTGACAATGTTTCACGCATAGAAATGTGTCAGTACTTGAACAGTTTGGCTCAGTACAAATTACAACATCACATGACATCTAAAAGTAAGTTAACTGCAATACATAGATAATTTGTTATAAAAATAAAATAAAATAATTTTCAACCGATCGTTGAAGTAGGGGCGTAACCCGAGGGGGGCCAGGGGGAGCTCAGCCCCCCCCCTAGAAAAAATAAGTTTAGCCCCCCCCTACAATTTTTTTCTGGTTACGCCCCTACGTTGAAGTTTTAAACTTCATATTAACTTAATCCTTATTTAATAATTATATGACAGATTTTATCTTTGTCAATAATAACCTTGAAAATTTCATTTTAATTTATTTTATGAGTAGACTTATCATCATTCTGTGATTTTGTGGTGCTTCTAAAGATATCAAAGACCATAATCTTGTTCTTCTCATTCTCAACCTGAGCCATATTTTCAAATGGAAATTAATTCAACCAATATGTACTTGTATTATTATATCTATGAAGGTTGTTTCCAGATGTCGCCCTTGCACAACAAAAGATTGAATTTTTTTTTCTTATCGTCATTCTCTTGATCAAGTGTAGCACATAGAAGTTATAGAAGGACGATGTTTCTAGCATGTATTTACTATGTATTCTATTTTGTATGTTTCAAATCATTACAATTATTTATTTGTTTTTCCTAGTAAATTAATTCCATTTATGATCAATATTACAAAACAAAATTTATCGCTCAGCTTCGCTTCTTAAAATAAGATCAATAAAATACAATGATAATTATTAGTATTTGAGGAATTGATCTCATGATATAGTAGATATTTGTTTGTTATTTATCGACATATGTAAATGATCGAATTTACTTTTTCTAAAGGTTACTATTTATGAGCATTGATATTAAGTTTTCAACAATAAAAGTCAGTTGTTTGATCATCGGGTCATTGGGATTGTGCTGCTAATATCAATAGTATTCACCAAAGAGACAATGAGTTTCTTCTATAGGAATACCACGGAAAATGTAAAGATTCGACATTAATATTTCCTTTAGTAAATCGGCACAGACATTTTTTGTGAAGTTTTCATAGTAGAAAGATCCATAGTTCCTAAAATATAAATATGTGCCTAGATATTCAGCTGAAAATATTTATCGAGCTTTGAAAACTTTCAGAACATATTTTCACTGGGAAATTACAGGCACAGGTTTGAACTTAAGGGCAGTATTTTCTTCTACTCAGCGAATTGATCACAATTTTCTGTATTATATTTTATTTTGAAATACTACAATAGAGTATTATAAAAAAATGTCCATAATATTTTCAAGTTACTCAATTCATTCGGAATTATCATTTTTCCAAAAATTTGTTTTGCTAATGAACAGTGTTCATACTGAATTATTCAGTAAGAATAGTAAGATATTTTGTCATTTCGAATTATCGTATAATGGATAAAATCAAATCTGAAATTTGAGACTTTGCAGTCTTATTCAACAGAACAGACGAAAGTCATAAATGTAATATCTTCTACTGTATTATATGGGACTCTAAGGAACTATATAGATAGTATATAGATGTGTTGGACTTCATAATTCTACATATTAAACTTGGACTGTCCATGAAGGTAGCAATTTGTATATTTTCGAACTACTATATATGAATTTTCTATTACATAACGATGTTGTTGTGTCTCATTCATCATCAATCTGAATCTAAAATAAATTTGCACTTGCCATCTTGACTATTTTATATATTATCCATATTTCAATAATAAGAATATAAAAAAAATTACAACAAAAAAGGAAACCCAATTTTTATATCGATACAAGATTCTACAAAATCTTTTTAATATTCAAAAACAAATCAATATTTCGACTTCTTTGTACGTAGTCGCTTGTAATATTCATCTTCATGCTGGTTACCGTGATTATTTTGTAGATAATTATTTTTATCCAAATAATAGTAATATGAATAGTAAATATAATCTACTTGTTTAAACTAATCGATGCGATGTAATGTCAAAAGAATTGGCCTAACTTAATAAATTTCTATTGAACTCACTAATCGATTCAATCTTCTCTATATGGTTCTAAATGTAACATTAATGGCTCGCCACACTTGATCATAATAACTGGCGTCTATTGTTATAGTTATGTGTGCACTCATCTTACGATAGGAATAAAAAAAAACCTTTTTCTGTGCAGTGAAAATAATCTTTACCCTATGGTGTAAACATACGTGCATGCATCACGGACAGCAAACAAAAGAAAATGAGAAATTTTTGAAATATGAAATTCATCAGAAAAGAAAAATGTATCTTTTTGAAAGAGATTATTCATGCTCTGAGAAGCAAAGTCAAAGAGAAAATACTTTCATCTATTCATATTTTATTAATTAAAATATTTTCATCAGAAAGAAAGAAAGAATGGTCATTTTCAACCTATCTCAACGGATCTAATTTACGCTTTTATGATACATTCTAAAGAAATATTGATACTACTTGACCAACATTACACTTCTGTTCCCATCTTTCCTAGATTTTATTATTGTTTCATATGGTATTAATTACTAGCGAAGGATAAAGAAACTTAGAAGGAATTTATCTTTCACAGGTAAAATTCAACAGTGCGAAGTCATAAGGCTAGTTATAATAGAACGGTGAAGTTTCATTCTAATCTTTGTCGTTATTTTTTTCAATACTTTTGAATTATGATACTCAAAATTTGTTGTTAATGGCAGCTGACCAAGAACACATGCTTTAGAGAGAAGAATTTTGAATAAATTAAATGACAGAACGATACCAATCATATGCACTTTCAAATCAGTTATTTCTTCTTCTTTTATGTTCTGTTTGTATAGTGGAAGAAATCAGTCAACATTGATGCATACAAAAAAAAGTGCCAGAATAAAGAGCATTTTCTTTTCGATTAGAGACTTATGTTGTTCTCATTTTTCTTTAAATGTTTCGTTTTAAAACAGTTTCCTCCTTATTATTCTTAACAGCTGCAATACTCGTGTGTTGTGTCTTTATTCTTCATTTTTTGACTCCAACATATGAATCTTTTGAAAATATCGTTCACGAGTCAAATGAAAATGTTTCTGGTGTGAAGTTTTTACCAAGTGGTGAGGCTCATGGTTCAAGGGCAAATTTGCTAACGCCAGCGAATGAATCTAACCAAAATATCATTGAACCTTCGATAAAGTGTCATGATTATTCAATACCTATTGAAAAATACCGTTCACAACCAATAGTTCGTGGTGTTATTGTTAGTTTTCCGTCATTAAAATCCGATTATTATTTTGTACAATTCCGTTGGTTTTATCGAAGTTGGATAGAATCAGAAATGTTTACATTAGATCATTGGCGTACGGATATAATTATACTTATTGCTGATCAATTTCCGAGTCGTACACGAAAAGTATTAGAACATCTAGATTGTCGTGTAGAAAATCAACGAACATCTCGTCGGCAAATCTCACGATGTATACTTGTTAATCATAAATTATTTTCACAAAGATCTCGATCTCAACGGCAACTCTATATTGGCAAGTATCCACTGCTTAATCCAGCGAATAAACTTCATCCTAATATTGATCGTTTATTTGCTATTTATGATTATACAAATAGAAACGAAGCAAATATGTATGATTTACTAATGGTTACAACGATGAACACATTTTTAACAACACAGTTTGGAAAATATATTCCCATTAAATGTTCATTTCTTATTGGTACAACGCCAGATTATTCAACTTGGTATGGTAAAACTGATCAAATTAAGCAATTTGCTCATACTCTTCTATCTACATTAAAACAATCTGATGGAACTCGAAAAAATGTAACGATTGATTTTCCATCAGCAATAGAGAAATTAAAGTCAACATTTTCATTTATTGAAGGACAAGTTGATGTATCATGTGATTCAAAAATCACTACTTATCGAACATCTGTATATCATTTAAAATGTTACGCACATTCAACAAGTTTATTTTCAGAAAGAATGTTTCGTGAAAACGCATACGATGGTTATGAAAAAGAGCCGTTTAATATTTACATAGCGCGAGAATATGCAACATTAATGGCTCTTCAATCAAAAGTTATGACGCTTGATGGTTTGCATTCATTAGCTATTAATGTGACACGACGGGCAGTTTTCACATAAACTAATATGTAGAACAAAATAAAAATTGAGAAATTTCTTTCTTTTTTTTTAAATATTATTTCATGCATGTATGAGCACGTGAATAAATCATTGGCTATCAGAAACTAGATAGAAAGGGGAAAAAGCGGTTTCTTAACACTTTTTGTTGTTCGACCACAGAATTGAGAAAGTGTCTTGTTTGCAACAACAAAAATACTTCGATACTTAATGGATTCCTTTTGTCATTCAACGACATCCGATTCATATAAAGTAACATTTTGTCGTTTCTAATGTTTTGTTAAATCGAATTTTTCTTTCTGATGAGATTTCAATATGTTAGTCTTATAGCCCTCGTAATTTAATTCCGAAATTGCTATTTGGTTTTCATACAGTTGTAGATGAATAAAAATCTGCGTGCTAACAATTGAAAATACGCTCTAAGCATCGGTACAGATTTATCTGAATGTAGTTGATTTAGAGTTCTAAATGAATAAATCAGTCACAAACTACTCTAAATTGATAGCCAAGAAAAAAGTCGACTATTGGAAAATTTTGATCTTTAAAAACAATACGTTGCCCTAGGCAATCTAAGCATCATTATTATTGAGATAATTTATTGAATAATTACTCTTAATAGTGTTAAACTTGATAGATCTAAGAAGAAAAATTTAATCACTAATTATCTCCGATATTGACTGCTCATATCATTTTATTGAAAATCATTTTATTTTCATTCCTGAGATTAAGTTAAACTATAAAACTATTATCTACCCTTTCTTTTCTTTTCTTTTTTTTTGTTTAAGAAAGATAAGCGATGTTCAGATTGAGTACTTGAGAATTCAAACATCATTTATTTATCTTAGCTCAATATGTGTTCTTACAGTTCAAGTCACTTGAAATTAAAACGAATTAATAAATCTTCAATTTTACTCGTATTTTTTTTCCTCACAAAACATCGTCAAACAAAAAAGCATAAGCATAAGCATCAACACCAATCATTCTATCTGAATCCACTACAATTGTAAATTACTTTCACAATTGAATAACATCGGTTCTATTCGGCAAAAAAGATGCTTATCAGCTACATAGTCGATCAATAATTTGAGTGTCAGAAGAAGAATAAAAAACAAGCGTACGGTCAAAAACAAACAATAAAATAAGAATAAAGAGTCATGCCTTAATTTGAATAATGATACTTGTAAAAATAATTCGTATCTTCTATTTATCTTTTCTTATACACAACAATAAAAATTTAGTCAATTGAAAATTGTCATGCGCATCGTTAATTGTATTGAAAGTAGGAAAAAAAGTAGCCTTTTAAAACTCCCATTGTGTTGCTTGTCGACTATTCTGACAGGTTGCTTGTATACTTCCATTTTGTTCTGCTCGTAGATACATTCCATTTGGTGCTTTTATTACAACTCGTGAATGTGATGGACACAATTCTAATGCAAATTTCGATGGTTCACATCCATTAACGCAGATACTTAAATCATTTAAAATTTCCCAATAAACTCCATCAGATCCTAATGTAAAGAAAAGGAAAACAGGAATGATTTTTATTGATATTGTTGAATTTTCTAAACCTTTAAGATATATAATTCCTTCGCTGTGTGTTCCATCATGTGGTTCTTCCAATGAAAATAAAGTAGATAAAGCTTTATTGCATTCAAGTATACGAGATTGTTTATTACGATAACCAATATGACCAAAATCACATTTAAATATACAAAATGGACGATTAATAAATTTTATTGAAAAATAAGCATCATTTGAACTTATTTGTTCGTTTACAACACGTAAATGCCCAGTAGCATGTGGAACAAGAAACTTTTCATTCGATGTTTGAAATTTTATACGTCCGTGACCAACTGATTGAATTTGAAAACTTGTTTCAATCGACCTAAATTTAATATATATAAATAAATGTGGAAACTTCGGATTTCATCCGAAAGTTATGTGTACTGCAAAAAGTGCATGGGACATATGAGTCATTCTAGAATGTCTGAACACCAAAATTATCATGAGAAACTAGGCAATTTGATTTCTGGATGCAGTTTTTGTGCATTTTGAGACGTTTTTCAGGCGATGNCGCAATTGCCTGTACATTAAAACCTTCAATTTTCCAATATTTATCATCATATGTTCGAATATGATACGCATGAAAATCATCATCATATTCAAGTTGAAATATACTACTATGATCACGTTCATATTGATTAGCTGATAAATCAATGCCTTGTTTTATTGAAACAAGTTTTCCATTTGATGCTACTAGACATATTTGTAATTTGCTTTCCTCTAAAAGAAATTGTTCATCTTTGCCAGCTATTTTATTTCTTGTTGTCAATATTCCCAATGGACCAATAGCTGTTAAATAAGATTGATCACAATCTTTAAATGTTAAATATCCTTTATAGAGTTCAATTGTAAATAATGTTTCATTAGTTTTTATTGTTGTTAGTTTTCCATCTTTATGAGCATAAAATCCATTACTTGATCTTATACAATAATGATCATCAAGATATTCAACTGCAATTATTGCATCACTACCCCATGGAATTATTTCATCAACATGAATTTCATCATCATCCAATTTAGCATAACGTTTACGAAGAACATGTTTTAAATTAATCTAAAGTTACAGAATGAACAATTAGTCGAAAACGAAAAAATAGATAAATCATTTACTTGTGATTGAACAGCTAAATGAGGTGACCACCATTCTGGTGATTTACTAAAACAATGAAGATGATCATTATCGCCACCGAAATACATATGATATGTTACAGATTTAAATGCCCATTGACCAATTCGATTGTATTCAAGTTGAAAATAGCAATCATCATTAAGTTTATTAGAATCACATTTCAAACGACCATACTTATCGGTAGATAAATAATGATTTAATGATGATTGAAGATAAACACAATCATTTTGAAAATTATAAATAATTGTCCATATCTGCTTTCTTTTCAAAGATGTACCAGCTGAAAACGAAATTCCGAATAGTATTGATTTTTTTTGTTTCTGAATGATACTTACTAGCATTAATTTTATTGCCAAAACTCTCTGATGTTAAATATTTTCCCTTCGAATTTCTTAAACCTAAAGACCAACAACATCTTGCTATTGTTGTATGATTCAACGATAAAGAAGTGTGACGATAATCATCGGTAATTTTTATAGGTTTTTGATGATGATCATTTTGTTGAGTAGAAGATTTTCTTATTAATGATTGTGAAGGATGATCGATTGTTGATGGAATAAGAGATGGAGGTATCTTGACTGGAGGTTTTGGTCTAAATTAAAAATAGATTTTGTTAATTACGTTTTATTGTGTGAATACAATGAAACCTGAGAGCCGAGTGCATATTGAATCTTGTCTTTAGTCAATACATAATCATTTTGTTTAGTCAATACGTATTGTCCTATAGCTATCTATTGAAAATGACAAAAAAATCTATTATTTGCTCGATTTTTATTTCTCTCTCTCGCTTTCGCTCTCACTCTCGCTTTCTCTCTACGGCTACTACTCCCTTTATTGTGAGTCACAGTATGAGTTCATCAACATTCCCATTGATTGCATTTAGTGGCTAGAGTAAAATTCTTTTATTTCTGTTCTTGTCCATTCTTTCTTACATACATATTGTATGTGTGACCGTTGGACAGAATATCGTAATTAGCAGAAAAAAAGAATAAAATTTGAAAGTGTTAGTATTCATTTGACAAGTCACTATTTGACAGAGTAAACGATTTGAATTATTTGACCTTACAATTGCGATCGATCATCTCTTATGGAAGGACGCAACCTTATAACTTCTCGTTTATATTGATTGAAGAGAAGAAAAAAAATGATATTTTCAAGGCCAGAAAAAGAGCAACGGACGTGTCCGAAACTAAGAACAAACGATTGACACTATAGCTATCTGCGTTTATGTTGTCACATATTGGTTCATTTCTTTTTCAAACATACAAAGCTTGAATATGTGACTATTATGAAATAGCATATGATGCTTGTAATAGAAAACGATTAATGTAACATCCAGCTGATCCTTTTCATTGAATACGCATGTCCAATAAATAAAGTCAAAGTCGTAAAGTCATTGTTGCATCATCATTTAGATCAAGATGTTTCATTGATACAAAAAAAAATGTTCATTTAGCAAATATTTGCTTTGGATATTTCATACAAAGAGCATAAAATCGATTAAATGTTATTTTCTAAACATTACTAGATAAACTTTCAGAAGGAATCGCATTATAATGAATGATATTTTTATTATTATTGAGTGTTACTACATCTAGCAAGACAAAAATGCACTGAATATAACGGCAAAGAGAGCAAAGAATTAAAATGAGCTGTTAACAACTGATGCAATCATAAGAAGTTGGAAAAAACCTTCTAAATAAAATAAATACAATAAAGAACAATAAAAGAACTGAGCAAACAGTATTCGTTCTTCCTTGCAATTTTTCAATAGACTGTACACCTGTGAAAAGTTATTTTTTGCCACGAGTTTTCAATTTGTGCTTGTGTATGAAAATGATGAAACTAATTCGTGTGTACGTTATTTTTCAATCTATATTTAGAAAAGTAATTGATCAATACGAATCATCGTGTTTATCTAGTTGAATATCAAAAATAATGTCATCGGCAAATGAAAAAGAAAGACTAGACAGTAAGCTAAGTAGATTTATTTCAATTGGAACAACAACAATAAACCTTTGCCGACAATAACAAGTAGTTGATGAATTTTTATATTTTTTTTTTCAAGAAGAAATAATGAATGGCGACTTCGATCAACATCTAGATGTACTACTTTTTGGATACAAATTTGCATTATAAAGAATGATTTGTTTTTATTAGGAGATACATGAATGTCCTCCTAGACGGCCACAATCATCAATGAGTACAATATCACAATTAAATACTTTCACAGTGAGGAGGAAAAACATCCTATTAATTGATAGAGTAACTTATGATTGAACGTTATCTGTATAGGATTTATCTGTGATAGCAGTCAATAATGAGCAGTCAATAACTAATCAGAAATCAACTATCAGCGTTTTGGTGCATTTTGAAACTTTATCGAACTGATTTTAATTTAATTTAATTTTTCTTACAGGATGATCTACTCGGAGATATAGATGCGCTGTTGACATTGGTAAAATTAATCGAATAAATTTTATTTTGTAGATTACTATCAACTGATTCGTTTTTCTTTTCTGTTGTAGAGGCAACCAAACACATCAAGAAGAGAACTATAGTAATTAAATTTTCATTTATATACAAATAGAGTCACGATCTTTGAATAAAAATATCTCTATTTCAGTAATGAACCAGCAATGCTAATTTGTCAACATAAATATGCAAGTAAACTCGCTGCTGGAGGATTTTTCGATCAACCGAAATTCTGTGATAAGTTGAAAACTGAAATGAAAGAAATATTTTCAGTTGAAACAACTATTACTAAGATAGAAGACCAAAGCACTCTGGAAAACATGATTATTATAGAATTCAAAAGTAAAGATCAAATAGCAAATGATACGGCACTCGAAGCATTAAAAATTCTTCTTGCATCAGTGATGACAAAGTTGGTCGATCAGAACATCGGTAATTCAATTTTTCTTGAATCTTTTACTTAAATAATTCTAGGGTAAAATTTTGCTAACACCACAATTGACATCATAAAAAACTAAATGTTGATGAAATCTCTCATAGTTGTATTAAATTACATTATCTATAAAAAAAAAACACAAAGAAATAGGTGAGACTTTGTTTATTTAATATTTGTAAATTCAAATTTAAAGGAAGCAAATATAATCAATTATAAAATTAATTTAAATTAATCAGAATAGTTTAGCAAACACAGAGTATTGAGAATAATTTATTCTAACATAGGTCAATGGGTAAAATATAAAAATTGTACGCGAATTATACAAGCGTATGCTGACCAGAATGAATATCTTCAAATACTGTGTAGCCATGAAGAAATCGGCATACTAATAAGCTATTTCAGTAAAGACAAATCAACCGTACTTCCTACATTATGTACTACCGATGCTTTTCTCGACAAAATGTTACAAAAATTTTTATTCACTGATATTTCTTTACCATGTATCTCAGACTTAACAACAACTAATAAAAGTTATTTAGTACAAGCTATTCTCAATCTACAAAATAAAATACAAACTCAGAATGTTTTTATAATGTTGGAACTACGATGTATTCATTTATTTGGTTTAATTGATACGGCCAGAGGAATTGAAAAACAAATTGAAGAAATCAAGATAAAACATGCATCAACTACCGTTGAACTTGTTTTAGAACAAAAACAAGTAAGAAACATTTTTTTTCTTTCGTAAGAAAAACTACAGAAATACTTATTTTACATAGATTAAATTTTTATTGGATATTCATTCCGATGATCTGAGAGCACTTGAAACAAATTATAATGATACAACAATTATCAAAACTTTGCAAAAGAAAAAAATAACAGCTCCAAATTATGCTCATGACATTATAGAAAAGAAAATATACGTATTAGCTTCACTGTGCAAACCAATGGATTTTGAAATCCTAGAAGAAGATTTTGGTTTAATAGCACATAACGAATGTGATAATCTGAAAACTATCGGTCGTCAATACAAATGTCAAATCGAAATACAAAGTGAAACGAAAAATAAGATTTATGACATACCCACAGCGTTAGTACAAGATCATATTTCAAATAAATTAACAGCATCAGCCATTGAAATACATAAAAATGATCTAGCTGAGCAAGAAGTATTATAAAACTATGATTTAAACAAATAACTATCATAGTTATCAGTTTGTATATTTATTTAGGTTGATCTTGTTGTTATTTGTTCGACATCAATGTATCTACGTGATGATATTCTTCGACGAGCTGGAGAATCAGCGCAACAAGAATATGAAACAATTAGCAAGAGATCATCTCTAGAACCTTTTGAAACGAACTCAGGAAATTTATCGTGTCGAAGACTTCTGTTTTTACCATGGGAAATAAATGTAACAAGTCAAGATGCATTTTATCAATCGATTCGAAATTTTGTTAGTAAAGCTATTCAGCATGCAATTAAAGTTCATCATACATCAATTGCTTTCCCATCGATTGGTTGTGGCAAATTAAGTGTTGATAAAAATATTGTTGCCAACGAGATGTTAGTTGAAGCTCAAACACAATTATTATCAGCTAATGTTTTATTACAAATTAATTTTGTAATTTTGCCTGAACAAAATGACGTATTCGAAGCGTTTCAAATGAAACTTGAAAATCTTCAACGAGGCGACCTAGAAACAAAGAATTTTCAAATTGCATACAATTTTTCTAGTAAATATAACATGAAATCAATTGAAATATGTTATTTTAATTTTATTTAGCACTTAAAATTACTATCATGTCCTCTAGTATTGAAAAGCAAGAAGAATGTAAGAAGGCCCTGAATGAGTACGTAAAAAAATCAATTTTTACTTGTGTACCCAAACATCAACAGGTGCTTAAAAGATGGACCCAACCTGCTATTAATGCATTCTATAAATACTGTTTTGATCGAAATGTTGTACCTGATATAAATATTGTTGTAGGCTCTTGTAAATTATTTGGTTTGAAAGCAGCAGTTGGAGACGCAGAAAATGAATATTATCGAGAACATATTAAACAAAGTGAACAAGCTCGTTTAATTGCCATCGCTCGAGATATAATATGGGCATTTCAAATAGATGATAATACGTGGATAAAATATAAATCTGAATTGAATGCTCTTATTGAAGATGCATATTCGTCCAAATCATTGACAGTAAGTATTAATCTGATATATGTAACAGATTATATCATTCCCTTATCACCAGTACACAATCTTGTAAGTTTATATGAAAAATACATAATTTATTGAAAATTAGGATGAATTATCAATGAATATAACTTCATACTACTTATTACTAAGATCTATTTGCGAATAAAAAAGATCTGATTTGACAGAAATATATTTGTTCGACAAATTTCCTTCATTAATTCTTTCACTATTTTTAATATCTTATAAATCAATACATATCTGCCTCATACAAATACTGTCGTCGATTCATATATTTTTAATTAATTCTGCTAATATTAATAGCTTGAGGGTTTAACATCCAATCAATTTCAGTCTTCTTGAATATATCGATGTTTATCAAATGATTATTCATTTTAATATTCTATGTTTTGCAGAAAACGTGGAAATTACGATAAAATGAATATGTAGGTTATTTTTAATACAAGGATAATGTATCCCGCTCACACTATGGATACATTGTATATATACAATGCGATGATTTGAAAAATGTTAATAAAATGCTGAAACGTCCTTGAAAAAAAACCAGTGGAACAAAAGTTTCTTAAAGTTGGTAGCGAGAACCCTCTGGTTCTGTTTAAAAGTTTTTTTTTATTCAGAAAAACATAAACATATTGAGAATATTTCTTTTTTTTACGAACTTCCTTTTATTGTTCATAGTATTATTATAATTAATTGGGTTAAAAATTACTATTTAAAATTATTGAATTGATATGAAATTCAAAATTATTAATTTTAGTCATCGAAAGTACTTTTACGTTTTTATTTAACTGTATGAAATCTCTTGGATTTCAACGGAATTTTCAATTCTTCTATAATCAGTTCTATGACATTCATGCATTTAAATATTTAATTCATTGGAATCAATTCTATTTTCAGTTTTCATATAGCGATGATGATTCTGTCAAGTATACCATTGATTTCGAACAAAGTATTGAAATATGTGAAAAAGCTCAAATTCAACGTAAAATTATTCGAAATCATGGTTTTGATTTACCACCATATTGGGCAGTGCAAACAGAGAATATTGCGCAATTCCCAGTAGACGAAAATTCAACTGAATATAATGAAATCCGTGCTTTATTTGATACAACCATGACTAATAATTATACTGTAATGCATCGTATTGAGCGTATTCAAAATAAACAATGGTACATGCAATACAATTCATACAAAAGTTTCTCTCCAAAGAAAAATACAGAAAAAAAACTATTTCATGGTTGCCCAAAGGAATCAGCTCAACTCATCATCAATTCATTTTTTAATCGATCATTCGCTGGCATCAATGGTTTGATTAATATTCTTAAATAATGGTTTGTAAAACAAATGTTTTTATTTTAAGGTACCGCGTATGGACGTGGAGCTTATTTTTCAGCAAATGCTAAGTACAGTAATGGATATACGAAAGTTACTACATCTGATGCTAAAAAATATATGTTTGTAGCATATGTATTAGTGGGTGATTGTGTTCGAGGAAATACTAACATGAAAACACCGCCTGCCGGTTTTGATTCAACCACTGATGGAGATCATATATTTGTTACATATCGTGATGATCAAGCTTATGCAGCATATCTTATTGTTTATCAATAAATTTCACGAACTTACCGGTGTTGTTCTAGTTAACGAATATCTTCCTTTTTTTCTTCAATTTTTTGATATTTTTCATGTACATCAATCAAGATGTTAACTACTTCAGTTTTTTTAATAATAAATTTTTATTTTATTTCCTTAAACAAAAAGGAATAACAACGAGCTATTGCATAGACAAAAACAAAATTAACTAAAACTCATCCATATCTTCGCTCGTTTTATTTGTTTGTTTTTTTCTTCGACTTTTTTTTGCATTTTCAATTGCTTTCATTCGTTTCTTTTTTCCTAAACCCAAACGTTTGGTTTGTTTAGCACGTTTTTTACGGTAAATTATTTCAGGTTGATTAATAGCTAAAACAGCTAATTTTTGTTTACGTTCTAAACGTTTTGCACGTCGTTGTTTAGCTATATCAGCGTAAATACTTGTGATTACATGTATATCACAATGACGTTTAAATACATCAAATACATCTAGTGCGAGTGTTTTTAATGGTAAATTTATTGTTGTTTCATCACGTTCAATTTCACGTTCAATAACAGTTAAAAATGATGTTAAATATGCTGTTAAAGATGACGATAAATCAAGTATAAGTGCAGCCATCCATTTCAAAACTGATGAACGACGTGCTATTTCATTGGGATGTTTGGTTGATTCAAATGTCGTTAAACGACAACAACGTTTAACAATTAAATCTAAACGATTTGGATCAGATAAAACAAGAAGTTTTGATAAATAAATAAGATTCTTGGTGATTTCCAAACAAAATGCTTCGGTTAAATCTGATGGTTTCAGTTGTGAACATGAACAACAACATAAACGTTGAATTTTAACGTAAGGTGAAACTGATGAATCAAATGTTGTTACATAGTGAACTAATAATGGTTCTTGATCAAGATTTAATTGGCTCGATTTTTTCATACGTTTACGAATAGAACCATTTTCGTTTGTTGCAATAGAATCCGAACTAAATAAAAATTAAACGAACTAGATAATCGTTAAATATAAAAAATGATGAAATTAGAATGTGTTGTTTGCTTAAAGCTATGATAAACTTTTTTATTGATTATAGTTTTTTAATTTGATTATTAATTAGATGAGATTTTCATCAAAACGTTTATTTATGACTAAAAAATAGATCTTATAAAACTGATACGATGGCAAATACTTAGAACAAGAAGTTAACAGGTAAAATCGAACGTTTCTTTCTGAATTTCTTTTCAAATTTTATTTCTGAGTTAATATTGCAGGTATCTCTATCAGTAAATTTTGTAAAATATACCTGTCGAGCTAGTTGTTTGCATAGAATTTAGTATTGAAATATAATTAACTGTTTTTAAAATCCACTTCGAAAAATAACTAGAAACCTTTAAAAACCAATAATTTAAGATAAAGTAGAAAAGTAAACAACACGTTTTCTAGATCTAACATGGTTTTCTAAACAAACCATACGACATCGAATAATATAATCTCATTTATAAACATGAGTGCAAATATTAGAAGCAAGCTTACAGATATTTCACATATTTTATTTTCAAAAACAATTCTAAGTACCTATTTCTAAAGAACGAGCAAGTTTGATTCTAAACAAAAGCTTCTGATTGTCAATAGCTGCTATTTGAATGCTAAAAAATTTGCTTTTTTTTGTTGTCATTTCGCATAATTATAATTTTTACTATATTCCATACAGTTAAAATATTTCAATAGATATTCTCTCGTTGATATTCTATTACTTTTTTTGCCCAATATATTAAATGGACATTTGATTTTCTACTTACCTAAAAACGGCAACGTTTTCTGTTAGTAGAAAAATCAATGTTTACGTGAAATTCCTGACGAATTCGTTTTAATGGCCTAATTTCAAATAGTATCTTTTTTTGTTTTTAAATTTATATTCTCTACTCAGATATCCTCGATTCCACTGTAATATTTAATATTTTTCATGTGAAAAAACAAAGCAAGATATTTCAAGATAAATAATTTTTTTCTTATAATTTCAAATTCCTTTACCTATCATGTTCTGCTGTTAAATATTTATTCATCCGTGAAACAATATCTTCGGGTTTATTTCGTGCAAATAGAAGACCAAAAAATTGTGCCGATAAAAATCGTACCCATATATGAGGATGAAGTAAACATTTTTCATCGATTAATTTTAATATGTTTAACCATTTCGATCTTAATTGTAAAATTTCTAACGAATTAGGGCAATGTTTAATGACATTAACTAAAACATTGATTAAATGATAAAAATATTGATCATTAAATTTTTGTTGTTCATTGTCATCGCCATTGTCATCGTTATTGTTTTGCATGTCATTTAATTCTTTCTCAATAAAATCGAATATATCAGATAAATGTTGATCGAATTGTTCATGTTCAATTTCAATGAATAAAATAAATAATTGCAGTGCTAAACAACGATGCTCAATTCTATCATTAATCCAAATCAAAACAATATTTTTCAAAATATCATTTCGATGTTGTTCATCAATTTTTTCTAATAGTAAATGTAAATTTAATTGAAAGTACTTTTTACATTCATTATTTGTTTCATTATAATAATGACATGATAATGGAAGAAAAAAATAAGCTGCATAATCATTTAAACGTTGTTTTGTTAAATCATTAAATAGACTATTCAGAAAAGTTAAAACAGATAAACGACCATTATAATCTTCATAATCAAGTTGAAGAAGAAAAAAATCAAAATATGATTTTAATTTTGCTTTTGTATGCTCATACGAAAATAAATATATATGAAATAAATCACGACAGGTTGTACGAATATGATCGTATGGTGATTGTACTAACATAAATATTAAACGTGAACGTAGAAGATTATCAAGCTGTGTACGAAGATTTTTATCGTTTGAGATTATTTTTACTGAATGACGCATTATTGAACGAAGTAGAAGAAATGCACTTGATTGACGATGAACATTAAGTAAATCAGATTCAATATAAGTAAACAAACATTGATACTCTTCAGATGTTAAAGAAACATCATCATTGATTGATCGCTGAACAAATGTACCAAGAATCTTATAACAAAGTGTTAGTAAATCATTCATATCAGTGGAGCCGGCTACCGATGCATACATCTTCAGTAAATCGAATACCTAAAACAAATATCAGATTTATTAAATTACTTCTTTTTTTTTGTCATATGGAAAATAGAACATCAAATTCATATTTACAAACGAACTATGAATGACAACCAGCTAGATTGTTCTCGGTAGACTCTGACACTAGAACACATTGGGAAAATCCGTCGATTTTGACTCCATAGACTTTCATTGTCTGATAAGATTTTAGTACGCATTACTCATAGAATTGCAAAAAAATGATCTGATGTCGTCCGAACAACTACCCCTAGTTAAGATTTTTAAAAAAAACTTTCTTGAGAGCGACATATTGTGATTCAATCAACTCGGTATTCATTTTGGTGTTAAATAATAGAACTCATTTTTTCGAGTTCAACTGAAGTATTCGATAGACTATGGAAAATTAGTAAGTAGCAAAGATTACAATAAATTCAGCAGACACATGTAAAATTCTTCTTTTTTTTCTAATAATTAGAAAGAAATCTTGTAATATCGAACGATGGAAATATTTGAGAAAATAGTCAACTATCGGTTTATCAAAATATAGCTTTAATTGCATTTAAATTCATCAACCCTGTATGAACAAGAAAATTCTAATTCAAATATAAAGAATGAAAGTGCTTCACTAGAATCCGTAGGATATCAATCATTTTAATAATAACAAAATATACTGAATATTGACTTTAAACGATAGGTGCTTTCACAAAAATGAATCTTAAAAATAAAATAATTACAATACATGTGATGAGTATCAAATCTTTTTTTTTCTAAATCTTTCTGTGGCATGACGATTTAAAAATAAATTACCTTTTTATACATATTAATAATTCGTTGTTGATTTAATGATGGTAATGAATACTCTAATAATGATGATAGATTTCTAAGTGAAGCAACAATAACATCTGTATATTGTGAATTTAAACATATTTCAATATGACCAACAAATGGATCAACCATAGAGAGAAATTTCTCATCATCATTTTTATGTTTTTTAATAAGTTTATGAAGTAAATTGAGTGTCCATGCAATTAAACAATGAAGATTTGTTTTCTTAACATGTTTAATAGCTTGTGCAACTCGAGCATGACCACGTTTAGGTTCAGCTGGTATCAAATGATATTTATTGAGTTCTTCAGTTATTGAGTTCAATTTTTTTTTATTTTCACTATTAATTTGTTCGGTTGAATTAATTTCATCTGTTTTAGTTAATAAATGATAAACAAATATAAATAATGTTTCAATTGATAAATATTTATTATTAATTAAACCAGTTTGAAAACGTTGTAAACATTTTTCACATTTTGATATTTGTCTCGAATCACTATTTGATGACAATTGCTGACGTAGTGGTTCCATACATATCAAAAGTTCATCGTTGGATTGTATTAAACGGCCAAGTAATTCCATAACATTAGCTGTTTTATTTGTTTTAGCTTCGGGAATATTCGACGGTTTATATGATGAATTTTCATGCTCACTTGCTTTTGATGATTCAGTTTTTTCTGTATTCAATAAATCTTCAATAAATAAATTTGCTATAACCTTAGCAGCTGGATCAATTTTGAAATCATTTGGTAATGATGATACATGTATAAGTATTGTATGAATTGTATGTAATAAAACAAAATGTTGATAACCACGTTTTAAACCACCTATTAATTCTTCAATAATAAATTTAAAATAACGTTTACCAAGTATGGTAATACATTTGCAAAGACAATCACGTGCTTGATCACGTATAGAATAAAGACGCGAACGAAGTAATGTTAATAGATGAAGAAGAATTGTTGATATATGTTGTTCAATAAAATCATTTGGAAATATGACAATTAATTTTGTTGCTATTAATGAACATGTTATTGTCAATAGAACAGCTTGTTGACGTTGATCATCAATTGTAGCATTTTTTGTTGAAATTCCATTTGTTGTAAGACTATCAATAGAAAATGAATTTTGACTTAATAGATCAAGAATCATTGGCAATAGACGTTGTTGAATTGTTCGACTGATACGTTCATCTATTAGAAAAATAATTTGTAAATTCGTATTTCAAAAAATTCCTATCAATACAATCGAATCTCTCAAGAAGAACTCAATTCGTTAGTCAACGTTTTAAAACATCTAGTGATCAATTATTATGATATCATTTCATAGATGATAAGTAATATGAAAAATGAAATAATATATAAGTATTTTTATTCTCTATTTTGTTCTTCTGAACAGTCTTTCTATGGAAAGTTGTCGATTATAATAGTCACTAAATTTTTGTAACTCATTATTATATGAAACACAAGAAATTTTATCTTCAAATTCGAATAGAAAGAAACAATCATATAATTACTTTCAGGAATTTTCTCATCAGTATTTAATTGAAAATGAAATGCGTCAATAATTGCTGATACTGTTTTAGTTAAACATCGTTTTTGTGTTAAACTTAACGTGTGTTTTGTTGTTTGTAATTGACGAAAATATGAAATAAATAATTGATTATATTTTAACCATGGTAATTTCTGACACAATGCTGTTAAACATACAAAAACAATATCATCATGAATATCTTGTGCATCTCCATTAATAACATCATTAATAAATGAACAAACAATTGGTAAAAGATAGTTAGCCATTGTTGTTAAACGAAAGGGTTGTTCATCGTGTATTAATTTGCAACGTCTTAATGCTCTCAAACGTCGATGATTTTGTACATGAGTTATATTATGAAAAAAATCAAGTTCAATATCATTATAATTATGTAAACGCTTTAAATCATTCAAATCTTCATTATCACTATTAATATCAATAATTAATGCTAGAAGACGAATAAATTCGTGTCGTATATGAATTGATATATGTGATTGTTTTAAAATCGAACGAATTTCGGTAAGAAGATATGATTGATATGATGGAAGTTGTTTGAGAAATAGATGAATACATTGTGATGCATATTCACGTAATGATAAATCATTGATTGAATAATGTAATTCATATAAACAATGATAAAATAAACATAAACATAGATGTTCATTTTTATCTTTATCAACATCTTTCAATAATGAAATTTCATCTGTTATTTGTTTATAACCATTTAAACGACGTTCATAATCAGGTTCATCAACTTGATCACCATTCCAAGCATTAACTTCAATCAACTGTGTTAAATACCAATGCGTACTAAAATTAGAATATTTAAAAAAATATTAAAACTTCTTGTCTATTTATTTACCTTGCTTCAATATTTTCTGATTGATTAATGAGTATTTGAAAAAGTTTAATTAATTCAATTCTTTGATCACGTTGAATTATTTTACAACATAGTATTGGCAATAAATTTAGGTATTTTTCAATTGGATTTTGAATATTTATTATTAAATTTTGTAAGACTTTAAGAATCGAAATATTCAAATCTTGTTCAGATGTTTTATTTGAAAATTTCTTCTTCTTTTTTGATAATACATTTTGACGCAGTAGACGAAAAAATATTGAGCATAATTGTTCAATTTTATCACTCTTTGATTCTTTACGACTGAGAATCAAAAGAATATCAAATTCTTTTGGAGTTAATGATATTGTACTACTAGATTCAATCATTGACTTCGATACACGAGTTAAATACGAAAGTAAATTATCATTATATGGAACAATCAAAGCATCGTCAGCTAAAAAGAAAAATATTTATATTCATTCTTTTGGAAAATAAAGTTTTTAGCATCATATCTACGAAATTAAAACATAGAACGTCAAGTAACTGTTATTTTTAAAGACATGAATATTATTTCATTAAAATCGCTTTAGAATTTAAATTTCTTGATCAATGTCTACTTAATCCTTTAAAACTGTGATACTGAACGATATATACTTGCTTCTTAATATCAAGAACTTCTATCATTATCTTTAACAGTGTTAATCTCGATATTCGATAAGTTAGAAATGATTTCAACTTATGGTTCATGTAAGCTTTGTGAAAGAACGAAAACAAAAAACGAGTACATACGATCAATTTGCATAATATTCCAAATAAATTCAATTATCAATTGTTTATTTTCATTTGTAATATTTTCATTTAAAAATAAACTAAAACATTTCATCAAATCGTTTGCATCATTTCTATCATTAAGCATTGCATTTTTTAAGTATGTTGTACTACTCCATATAGTAGCTAATTTTAATAAATGTACAATATCTTCACGTTGTTTCTTTCTTTTCAATACATCGTCTAAATAATTTTCTCTAACACAACACAACCACAAATTATCAATTAAATCTTTTTTAAATATTTTATTTTGATCACTATCAAATAATTCAAATATTGTTTGTAAACCTTTATATGACATTGATCGAATACGTTTTAATAAGATTCGATTTTTTTTTATTTGAAAATTATCTTCTTGTGAACATTTTTGATTATTTAAATGATCAACAAATTTTATAGTTAATATATAAAATTTGATAACGTAATCTATATGTTCACGTACATAGACACCTAATTTAGAAATAAATGTTTTCAATAATAATAATGAATGTTGAACATATTTGATAAATATTTCGTAAGAATTCAAATCGAATTCATCGTTACTTAATAATATTTTATTATTAAATAAATTTAACCATTGTTTGTCATCTGAATTAAATAATTCATCATAGAATGGTTCTAATAATAATTGTATAAAATAATGAAAATGTTTGTCATATAAGTTATTTGATGCAAATGTTATTAAAAATTGAAATAGATATTTGCGATTCAATTCTAAATAATCTTTTCTACCACGTGTTGTTGAACCTAATGAACGTTTATCATTCAATTTGCTATATATAACACGTATTAATATAAAGGCATATTGAGTTTTCAATGAATCAGATATATTTTGTTCAAGTAAAACACCTTGAATTAAATCATGAAATGTTTTTCTACATGTACTTGGATTAAATATTGGAAGAATACTTTCTGAATGTGTTAAAAAATCTGATTGAATTATTGATTCAGGTATTTGATAACATGTTAATAAACATTTAAAAGCTAATTGCTGAATTGAACAATCTGATGAAAGTAATAAACGTACATAAAAATTATAAAGACGTAATGGTTCAAACCATTGTTTGTAATGGTGAAATTGTTTCAATAAACTTAAAATAGTTTCTAAAGTTTTTATGGATAATTTTCTTGATAATCGTTTAAATTTAATTGTTTTGATTCTAAATGATGTTTTATAGTGACTAAATAGACCTAATGATAATAAGTGATCATAATATTCATTAGAAAAAAAGTCAAATATTATCGGGAAAAGTATTTTTGTTTTTTGTTCACATTCATTTGGAAAATAAGTTAAAATTTTGAATAAATTTATACGATATTGAATATAGTCCATTGATTGTTCATTAATTTCGAATTCTTTCTTATTATTATTTTCAATATAAGCATTAATTAATTTATCACTTATTTGATCAATTGATTTTAATTCTTCACGTTGATTTATCAATTGAAATTTTTCATTTATAATTGACCAAAAATAAGTATGACCAATATGTTCAATACCTTTATTACCATATGAACCTAATAATTCAATTGATACTGACCATAATGGAGTAAAATTTGAACTAAGTAAACCAAGTAAATAATACATTGATAAATGAAATGATGATGTTTGATTATTTAATAAAAGAAAATCAACTGATAATTTTTGTAAATAAATTATTTTTGAACGATATTCATAAACATTCAATGGACATTGTTCACATTGAAGACAATTTAATATTACATTATTTTTATCAGTTTTATCGGATATAAATGAAGAAAGTATATAAAGTGACACTAAGCGTATATTAGAATTAAATGATGATAAATTTGTTTTTAATAATTCAATAAATTTCTCTGAATGATCTTCTGTTGGACTATTTATTAGAAATGATATACGCGCACCGAGTAGATAAAGTTCTGATTGAGCTTCTAGTTTAAGAATAGAATACCAAAATGTGGCAGGGAATGATTGATCATGAGCAATTAATTCTAAAAGAATTAATGCGATTGTTGTTGATGATAAACAGTCATTAACAATTCGAGCAATAATTTTTTCTAAATGTGTATTTGTTAATATTATTTGATTTGAATCTTTTTCATGTAATGAATTAAAAAGAATTAATGCTTGCCAAAGTTGTCCATTCAGCTAAAACAGAAAAAAAAATTTAATAATTACATAGAAAAAGTGTTTGTCATCATGGATAAATACTAGTGTTGACTGAAAATTTGCGTGAAACATTAACCTGAATTAAGAAGACGCTTAACACAGCACAACAATGAATTTTTCTGTTCAAAAATTGGAAATCTAACATTTTTAATAGAACAGCTCCATTATATTTTAGCATTTGGTTTATGACTATTTTTCAATGCAATATCAAATGGCATCATTTCTTTTAGATGTTTCTACTGTCATATAGTGATTAAATGATAAAGAGAACCAATAAACTATGAAATTCTAGATTAGATTTTACGGAAACAATAACTTTTATGAAGACCTGACAATGAAATCGCAAATTTGATAGAATCAATTGAAATTATTCGTATATCTGACAGAGAAACTTCATTTTCGAATTGATATCATTTAGATGAATTTATATTCTATAGAAAATGAAATTATCATCTAAATGATTAATGATTCTCCTTTTGTTTCCTACTCTATGTAGCAGTACCGAATATAGATTTGATACATGTCTATGGTAATTATTACATATACATGTTAAAAATGATACAATTAATAGCTAAAAGTAAATTCTTACGAGAACTTGTGCATCATCAATCTTCGATAAACTATCTTGAATAAACATTTGTATTGATTCTAATCCTTTTGCTGTTATCTTTTCTTTCATGAGCAATTTGTTTTTCGTTTTTAATAATTTGATTTTATCAAAAATATTTTGATTATTATCATTTGGCAATAGAATCATATCAAATCTTTTTCTTTCAATAATGATATAATCAACAAAATAATCCATTATTTCTAGTTGACCATTCGTTTTTCTTACTAGATGATTCCATAGTAATGAATGAAAATCATTGGTTAATTTATCATTTAAATCACTTTGAAATATTTTTCGTGTTTGTTCATAAAGTAATGATGCTGATGTTTGCTCAACAAAATGATAGTAAATATCAATTATTTGTTTATTATTTGTTGTATGTTGCATTAATTTAAAAACGGTTTCATAATGCATTTTTAAAAATTCATCATTTTCATTAACGTTTATCATAGTTAAAAATTCATAACATAAATTTATATCAATGATCATTTTATGATCAATTAATATTTGAAATATGCCATAGAATATTTCATATATAAGATAATCCTTTATTTGATTATGATCTAATGTACGATAAATATCCATCAAACAATTCCAAAGAATCCCAACATGTTCCTTATTTGTATGTTGAACTAATAATGAATAAATTGTTTTAATACAAGATTGAATAATTGTTGGTTTATCAACACATTTTCTCAAAAGGCATGTTAATAGAGTTTTTGTACATGAATGAAATGTCGATTGAACATTTTGACATGTTTCACTAAAGACTAATGCAAGACTTTCTATTTCATTATCATCACGTTCTTTTCTATCAAATAAATAATCAATAAACGATTGATAATTTTCTATTTTACGTAAGAGATATGCAAATGATTCAGCTGCAAACGAACGAATATATTCATAATTCGTTGTTAATGTATTGATGAATGATGATGAGAACAAAAATTTTGAATATAGTTCATATAAACTTGCTAAATCTTTTAACATAATACGCCATAAATATTTGAAAAGATATGTTAAACATTGAAAAACTTGCTCAAGTAATTGTGTATTTATTTCATTTTGTTGTTGTTTTTTGGAATTTATGAGTAAGTTAATTATATCAATAAATAGAAATTGTTTGTAATAGGCATAGAAATCACCTTGTAAGTCACGTGCTAGTTGAACAATTAAATCCAATAATGATTCAACTACTAATGGATTTCGTTCATTCAATGTTTGTCGAAGTATAGATAAGATTTGTTCACGATTGTAAACGACTTGTTCCAGTGATCTTGCTAATGGAAGAAGCTTTTCATGAACAGTGGAATATGCTTCACTAAAATTCAATGTTGACCAATGTTGAAGTGATTGATGAAAATAACTTGTACGAATTAAATCATTCGTATCTTGATGATCATTTGTATCATGATAACGAATGCGATGAACAACATTAATATTTATATTATTCAAACGTTCATGAAGATTTTGAAAACGAAATGGATGTTGATCCTTTTCATTTTGTTTTGATGTTTTTTGTTTCTTTGTCATCTAGAACTAATATCAATGTATTAGATTTTCAAAACTACAATCGTTTTTTTGTCTATGTGCACTTTTAGTTATACTGGAGAGGCTCAAATGGAGTATGTAGGTATCATATGGACGGCCAATCACTCATGGTTTATTGGCGACATCTAATTCTAACCTGTATTTATTGCATATATAAACGAAATCAGCAGACTCTGAAATATCACTCTATTGTCTGTCTCACAGAAACTTACTCTTCAATATACTGCGAAAGAAATGTTTATCTAATTCTTTTTTTTTGTGCTGTTGATTTTGCTCTAATGATACAGAGTTCGAAATTCGAATTCATGATTATTTCTACATGTACCAAATGTTATTTTATCAATTGAAGTCATAGCGATTCGATGCTCTTTCATAATTGAACTGTTATTTTAGCTGAAAGCAATATTTGATAGTCTTGCTGAGGTTTATACTCATCGTTATAATAGTGGTAACTTAATTTGACTTTGTAAAGATTCACAAGATGAATTGCATTACATATTTTACTCGTGAAGAAAAATATGCACTACAACTGAGAATTCATTATTTGTCAAATTTCAAATAGAATTCATAATTTAACAGGTATCAATTTATCTAATGATTGCAGTTTTAAACTCAAAAACAAACCTATTTTCTACTGTTCTAGTCAAAAACTTTGAACGAGCTTGAATCTATTATTAAAACTAGGTAAACGAGGATTCGGCAAATATCTGATCGGTGACATAAATGCTCGCTTTAAGCGGAAAAGTGACGTTCAGGTCAAAAATGCTTAAAAACTAAACTTATGATAAACAAACGAAACAAATAAACAGTAACGAAAATATAGTGTTCCCCCGATCACGTCACACCACTGTAAAAATGAGTTTGCAACGGAAAAATGAAGAGCTCAATGGGAAAAATGCTCTCGATAAATGAAATATTGTTTTTCTTTTAGAAGAAAAATGGGTTCATATGTAATCAAAATGAACATACATATATTCGCGATAGGAGAAAAATGATTTTGCACGAGATTAAGGATGTTGAGAAAATTTACAGTCGGTTAGATTATGGTTGGCTTTGGTTAAAACAATGATACCCAAGTTGATCAAAACGGACTCGTTTGCTGTCTGTTTATCGACGGTAAACAATGTCAAAACGGTTTATTTACGGCAGTGAATAGGCCGTATTTGCCTGTAATACCTGGCACAGTAATACGGCACCGTAAACGAGATTGAATTTTCATGGTTTACGGCTGTTTGCGCTCCGCACTCTCATGATCATACGGTCCGTATTACTGCGCCAGATATTAAGGCAAAATTTCGTCCGTAAAATAGTCGTAAAGTAACCGTAAACGACAGTATACGGACCGTAGTGTTAGACCTGAGTAAGTAAATTTGCATGAAGATGGGATGCCGAAAATCATTTACGATCAGGGTTGCCACCTGATGAAGTACAAAAAGCGGAAAACTGATCTTAAAAAGCGGAAAATAGCGGAAAGAAAAACAGAAAAAGCGGGAAAAAAAAGCGGAAGCTTATATTGTTGCAGATTTGTGGTGGTTCTGAGAATATTAGGCATTTTTTTTCATATTTATTGAATTTCTTTTTATTTCATCAAAGTTTCAAAACATAAAAGAATGATGGCTCACGGTATTTGTGAACAATAAGAATTGATTCAATAATATCAAATATTATTCTGTACGTAGGTTTGATATGCAACACGTTTTATACGAAAAAGCGGAAAAAAAGCGGAAGAGGTGGCAACCCTGTAGATAACACACAGTTATATAGGAGAGAGCGAAAGAGAGAAGAGAAAAGAGGAAGGGATGATCAGTGAGGCGGAACACTAATATCGGCACAGTTATTCTCTTTCTCGTAGAGAAGAGTCTAGCAAACATAAATTGTCTGCTTGCTTGCTTGCTTGTGTGTCCGCACTTCACTGATTGGTCGGAGAAAGTATTTAAAGATATAAAACGCAATTTGGCTTATAAGGGTTGACCGAAGGGTAATCGGGGTCGAGGAACTCGAATCTGGTGTTAGTTTTTAAAAATTTGTGTTTGATGATTTGGTTACACAAGGGATCAAGTTTTGAAGAAACATTTTAGCTTGACGATATCGACAATTGTTTAGTGTGTAAATAGATATCATGCAGAAATATATAGTTTGATGTCCCATGACGTAATAATTGGCAATTGTTATTTTCTAGAGAAACTTCGAATGAAACTCATTTACCTGACAACAAGACCGAGCTTCTTCCTGGTCTCTTACCTTTTGTACCGAACATGCCTGTGCTTCTTACTGACAATATCGCCTGTGAACTCGAATTTTCGAGCGGCACTCAAGAGATTTTTCGAGAGCTCGTATATGATGATCAGGAGGATTTGGGTAGTTTGAAAGTGAAGAGCGATGTATTTCCCTCAAATGCGAGCTATATACGTAAACCATGGTACGCCCTCGTGGAAATCAATACATCACAAGTGGAAACAGACCTCGATGGTCTTCCTCCACAACGAATCCTTATCCCACTGGTAAAAAAAAGCAATTTACCGTTTCCATCAAGCAACTCTTCGGCCCACTATTTGAACGTGTGAAAGGTGGAAAAAGATACCAGAAATGATTCAAATAACAAGAACGCAATTACCAATCGTGCCTGCTTTCGCAATAACTACTTACAAGGCGCAAGGACTTACTATGAACAAAATTGTGGTCGACCTTCAAGTTCCACTTGAAACAGTGCAAGTGGCATCAATATATGTACCACTCAGTAGAGTGAAGAAAGCAGAGGATGTCGCCATTCTGCGACCTTTCTACATGAAAGTTCTACAAATCCGACCATCTCTTGCTCAAGATGCTGAACTAAAACGTCTAGACGAACTTAACAGAAAGACACAGCAGGAGTGTGCTTCTTTTGTTTTTGAAATTTTAATTAATAAATAGTTTGTTCGCAATTCAGAAAGAGAATTTCTACGAGAAAGAGTTGAGCGAGTCCTCGGACGAGCGTTACTTGTATATATCGAAGAAAAATAGATGTTTCAAATATAAAACAATAAATTGAATTGGATGACAACACAACTCAGAACGAAAAAAAGGTGTCATACTGAACCGTTTAGGGTTATAGATTTGAGTACCATTTCCAGAACTATTTAAGGTTCAAGCAAAATCTGATTCTAGCTGGAATTTTTTCCTATTTCTTCCAAAAATGGTTCTATAGTAGTAAAATGTAGTCCACCATACTCAATTAGTTTAGTACTCTAGACTAATGTTTTATCCAACCGTTAATTTCATACTTAATCCCTTATTCCTAACCTTAACCCTTACTTCTATCATTAAGCCTAATTTCTAACCTTAAGCCTAATTCCTATTCTTAACCACTATTTCTATCCTTAACCCTCATTTCTATGCTAAACCACTAAATCTTATGTGTTATATTTATCTGGATTTGTTGTGAGCAGAATATGAGTCAACCCTTTCTCCTTTATTCGCACGAAAGGGGAATCGCCTTTACTTGTTGTCGAGACGATCCTAAACAAAAAACAAGAGGAGTGATTGATACTGTATGATTGAACTTACCATGAGATCAATTATTCATATATACCTAAGTAGAAAAAAACATTAATTCTTTTTGTCATATTGAACTTGCATTTCAATTGATTATTGCTACATACCTAAATAAAGAACATATTGACTTCATTTTATCAGATTGACATTACTTTGTATTGATAATTTTGATATATGAAAATAGAAAAAGAATAAGCGCATTATATAAGTTATAACTTACCATGGAATTGATTATTAAGACGTACCTACCCATGTTCATCAATTCGACTCAGATCCTCAGGCTCGGTATCGATGATGCCGGATTCAGATTCCTGGATCTCGATAACTTATTTCAAACTTTGATCAGAATATAGATCGGAGTTGAAATAAAATGTTTAATTTTACAGCCACGGAATTTTTGGTGGGCCCAATTTCTGACCAACGGGAGCTCAGATCGAAAAAATAATAACGAATTCGGAATCCTCGACCTCGGTAACCTATTTGAAATTTATATCACTTCAAGCACGCTCCGGAAACATATTATCTTGCTTCAAGTCAGAGCCATCTTTGGAAAAATGGTTCGGCATCACAATAAAGGGTGCAGAACGGAACCTTTTCAAACATCCGCAACTGTTGAGGATCTCAGATGGTTCTTTAAACTAGCTTGAACCCTAGATGGTTTATTAATGAGTGAGTGAAGCCTTAAAAGGTTCAGTATCTTGGCTAGAACCATAAATGGTTCCATATGACACTTTATTTTTTTTCAGAGTTCGCAATCAAGTACAGTAATCAGTAGCATTGATTCGGAAATGAATCAAAACCTCCAACTTCATTGAATATTTAGACGATGAACTTCATCCATAATAGCCTAGCGTGAGCATATATAGTTATAACCCATCAGAAAGTTCCCGAGAGTCAGTATGGAAGCACGAAAATGTACCCATTGTTCCTTTTTAACTTATTCTTTTCCTAGTGGTCAATATCATGTAGGTTTCTGTATGAGACTTTTGAAACGTAACTTGCTATTTTATACATATTCTATCTTCTGAAGAAGTGAATTTAAGAATTTAAGAATACTTCCAAAAGTATGTGATTACCAGAGTATATCAAATTTCAGGAATGATCTAAATTCAGATGTAGTCTCTGAAGAAACTGACAATCACTACTGTATTGTATCAAAATTCTCGTAACTCTGTCTAAATTCTGAGCTGTATCCACATTGGATACGTAGACTTAGACTGAATATAAAAAAGCTTTTAAAACTTTTGTATTTGACTATGAAGAGATAATCTAATGCTCTTGTATTTATGTTCAAACGGTAACTCAATACTTCAGCATTCGTGTTAGTTTAGCATTAGCATAATACAAACACTTATATTTTCAATATTAGCTATTGGCAGATATATATATATTCACTTGCAATCTGAAAACAGAACAAGATTGTTGTGTTAAGGCGACATTGATCGCCAAAT